GAGGATTTGCCACACTTGAATTTCAGAATGCAGAGCGAGTCCTTATTGCCATGAATACGACTGTTATTCCGCCAAAGCGTGGTACAACGACGAACAGATTGGCTACAATAACCGAGCCCTTGGGCAGTGAATTGCTTGGTATGGCTCGGCAATGTGCAACTACATTTCAGTACAGAAACAATGCAGTGGCAGTGCTTTTACACGGGATGCTGGGCCACATTTTAAGAGGTCAACAAAGTTAAGTGTAGGTTGCCCCCATGTCGCTTTAAGATGTTTTTCTTGTTCGTGTTTTTTTGTTTGTTGTGGTTGCACCCGATTCAAGAGCCGAATGGCTCACAGGGCTATATCAAAATAAATAAACTGAAAACTGAAAATGAAAAAATGTTGATGACTGTTTACCAGACACTGATCCATACGATGTTCAACCACCACACTGCAGGTCACAACAACACATTCACCACCCACTCATCAACCCATTCACTCCCTCCCTCACCCACTCGCTCACCCACTCAATCACTCACACATTCACCACACTGCAGGTCGCAACATTTATTTTTCTGTATTTTCCCTTGCCACTGCTCCACTTTGGAATTCCACCCTTCCGTTATCGTCTCTCTTCTCAACTTCTTACCTTGCCAAATTAAAAACACGTGTTAATGCTTATCTATTATAACTTTGATGGTGCTGTTTTGTTGCTGGCCATTGGATGTTTTGGGTCTTTCGGATTTTGTTCAGCAATTTATTGTTAAAACTAAAAAAACCCAACTTGAGCTTTAGTTATTTATACAGTTTAGTGTTTAGTGATGGTTAATGGTACTGTTCATAACTTGACTGACGATTGGAAAGTCGCAAGTTCAAACCCTGGTCGATTATGCGACTCATCCTATCATCTCCACATGCGCATCAAAGTGCAGCACTTAGCGGAAGTCAGCATGCCATGGGAATGCTGAAGAGGCGTGCGTCACACTCCCCATCCACTACTCTCGTTTGAACAAGGAGGACACTTTATTGATTCATATTAATACATCATTCACAGCCCTGCGTTGCTGCTTGATGACAGCTGGTTTTTCAGTGAAACCGTTTGATTTTATTAGGGTTGTGTAGGTTCACCTCTGATGTGACCCAAATTACATTGGATCCAATCGGACATGGATCCAATGCTTAGCTATCAGATTGGCCATGTGTTTTTGTAGCTCCGATAGGCTAGCCATAAACAATTACACAATACTGTGTTACTACCATTGTTACTTAAGCAATATAGTCATAGGTTCACGGAGGAACAAATGCCTTGTTGCAAAGCACAATAGAACCCTAATTATAATCAGTGCTCCAGTAATCCTTGAAAACTAAAACTTGCGGTACCACCGCAGTTTTCAGCAACTCCTCCCAGAAGCCCCGTGCGATGATCCTAAGATCCGCGTGATTGTGGTTTTTGAGTCTTTTTGGAGGGTGACTAAAACCCCCTCCAATTGCCAAAAGTTCAAGGCTTAAGGGTTATCTGGGCCAATTCCTCCAAAAATGTGTACGATGCCGTGATGGGAGTGATTTTGTTTTAAGCGCGGCGGGCTTGTTGTTTTCTACTCAAACAGAAACACGTAATAATAAAATGAAAAAAATTAATGATGGATTAATTTTCTGACTTGAACAACATTTAACCGTTCGCCACCGACTGCTGGATAAAAAAAAACCTCCCCAAACTGCCCCCATCCCTCACGGAAAGAGTGAAAAATTTTGTGTTCCTGTTAAACCACCTGAAGTGACGTAAAAAAATGTTGCGCCTATTGAAGTAAGATGTTTATCAGCGTGCACTGCAAGCTGTGAGACGGGGTTCAGAAACAACGTGGTCGTTTACGAAAAACAGAGGACAAAAACTGAAAAAGAGCAAAGCAACATAAATATATGCACCCTGGGAATTACATTAGCAGACACAAAGAGGAACACACGGATTAGAGAACACACACAGGTGAGTGACACCATCCAAACTCTTAATAAAAGTCGTCGGAGGCTTGGGCAGGACACTTCACTGGAAGGAATGACGGCCGACGGTCAAGGTTAATAACGCAGTGGCAGCTCAGAGATGGAACTCGTCTTAGAGAGCCGCGTTCGTGCAGGAGATGGAGCGATGAAATCAGTTCATGTGCAGCTACTGGATGGCTTGTTGTATCGCAATATTTTGAGAGGCGGCGGCAGTTTGGGGTGGCCTTCATCCAGCAGTGGATTGATCGTGCAATGTTGATACCACCTAACACTACACCTTTGTTGTACTTTGTTGGTATCTGGGTCTGGTACGGAATATTTTTTCTAGAAAGCTGACCGATTCAAGTGCCTCCACATCGTGGAGCTCTCGCCATCTGAATAAATGCACTGCAGTACTCGAATGTTTAAAGTACACCACTGATATCCAGTACTGCTATCTCGGCGCAGTTCTTCAATGCAAAGCCATCGGTATTTACACCCGGCAGTGGTGGCTATGCAAGCCTGTAATCCAGCGGTGTGGAGGCAGTGAGGTTTGGTGGATCCCACAAATGGTGTGAAACTCCCTTCCCGTGGGTGTCGAGGAAGTGACCTGTCCTGGTTTTCCAGTAAAAGGCAATAAAGCAAATTTGGACTCTATCCGTTCCATCAGTGTGGGATCGAGTGTTGCCCCCTCACATACGTGAGCTTTCTCCAGGTACTCCGGTTTCCTCCTCCATGTATGAACATTCACTAATTGGCTGAAACATCTTAAAGTGTAGAGGGCCGTAAGCTTGGAAAATTTCTGGCGCCGGCTCACCGTGTCGCTGCCTTCCAGCTCATCTGTGCTTCCTCCTCGTGCCTTCTGAGTCATTCTCTCTCGTCGAGAGTGAGGCAATTTTGTGTGGCGCCACGCTACAAGTCGGGATTATTATTATTATTAAAAAAATGTTTTTATTGTGGTAAGCACGCAAGCCCGGTACAACGCGCCGATGGTTTCTGGTGAAGGGGGGACAAAAACACGCGGGGGAAGAACTTGGAATTATTAAGGCCCCGTATTTACATTCATCTCTCGATCTCGGTATCATTGGATATACCCATACAAGTCTCAGAAGTAAGGCGGAATACGGGACACTAATCGAAATACTTTTGCCAGCGTTTGGAGGTGGATGGCTCCATTGTGGTGTTTCTATCAATTTGTAATGAGATTCTAATTCATCCTGAATGCCTATGGAAAAGCAAACCTACATGTGTATCGATGTACACGAGGCATTTTATAATTTCTGTCAATAGAGTTACTAAAATAGAGTTACTAAAATGGTTTTGGCCATAAAATTATTGAGGGAAATATGGCCTTGTAAAATTGCTGACTGGTACACGCATAAGAAATCAACTTCTGATATTGCCTCTCGTTTTGCTGACAAATGCACACACATACACATGACGGAGCATTTCATGAAATAATTGCCGTTATCAAGAGCCCAAGGAACAGACGAGCAACCATCCAAGGTGACCTACAGCACGTGGCTCAGTTTTATCAGACGCATTTACAAGGGCAGACCCAGGGAACATTTAGCGTGTCTGCTGTTCAGGATTTTCTTGTTCTCTGCCAAAAGGTCAACATATCATTATCACCTTTCTCTTTGTGGAGTTTGTATATTTTCTCACTGTTCTGCATGGGTTTCCTCTGGGTTATTTCGTTTCCTCCCGTAGTTAAAACATACCATGTGCAGGCCAAACATCCCAATGTAGCCTGACCCTCTTAAAGAAGAGTTTTTGGGACGTATTATGGCTTTCCTGACTAAATTAGTACAGTTTGCTTCTTAAAGTATCTGAAAGCACTGGCTTGAAACCTTTACGCATCTGGTGAAGTGTTGAGCTCTTTGGATTATCTCTTCTATGGATCTCTGCAGAAGAGATAAGATGCACGAGGATCTGTATCCAGGTGACAACAGAGGCGGATGAATTCCTCCGTTTTATTTTTAGCCAGGAATGTTATGCGCTGCATTTTATTTTCTCTGCACCACGGGCGGTGCAGCTGGAGGCATGAGGATTCAATGTGAGCGGTTGCCTGGTGTCGCCAGATGGAAGCATCTTTCATCTCATATGTTAATATTTGTTATGCAGTCAATACTAATTGTATATTTAGTAGAACAGCCGACTTGTTACTTGCTTGAACTGCACGTTGTGTAAATGGTCACATCTGTGCAGCACCTGTAGTTGCCATTACCTTTTAAACTTAATAAATATGTAAATTGTAATTGTGGACACATGATTCCTAGCTTACTAGCTGACTATTTTATTTCACCAGGTAAAACCCACTGAGCTATTATCTCTATTTGAGAGGTGACCTGGTCACACATGATAGCTCATTTAAGTGGCTTATCACGTGGGAATTTATGGTAGCAGCCAAATAATCTAACGGCATGTTTCTAAACGTGGAGGGCAAATCCGAAGGACACGGAGAAAGATCTACACGACCGCGAGAAGATCACGCAGATTCCACATGTACAGGCATCGCCAGGGTTGGGGTTGAATCCATGACGTCCTGCACACCAGACAATGGAGATAAAATCTCTTCTACAGCCCATGCGTTTATATTGGCCTCCGTTAGTGGTGGCCACTTTGCCTAGCGGCAGCGCATTTAGCATTTGTTGCAGGGGTTTGCGGTTTGTATTCACCGTAATATATGTGCCATCTGCTTCACAGTGGAAATTGAAGATCCTGTGGCGTCATTCAAAATAGTAGGTCATTGTGTACTGGCATCGTGGTCCAAATTTGAAATATTATCTGCAAATTACTCAGTTGGGAAACACGGCAGCAATCATCACCCCCCTATCGGCAGCAATCTCAAGCCCACTGGCATGCCGGTGCTCAGTCACCTTGTGCCACGCAGAGTTGGCTGCCATGGGGGGTCCCCGTCGAATGTTCGTGAGTTGCTGAGGCATATAAGCAGCACCATGTGAATGTAAAGATTGTTATTATTCGCGGATTGCTGTAATAATGTTCCCCTGTACGTGCGCGTGGTGTTGTATTTTGTGTTGCAGGCCGCATGTGAACCCACACCATGGTCCTGCTGAATCCACCAACGATCTGGTTACTGTGCTTCTTCACTTACCTCCGCCTAAAACTCGCACAGAGTCAAGATGGTAAGATGCCCCATGCGCGCTCAACTACTCTCGCTAAATCTAAAATGATTTACAACTTGTTTGATGTGTATGTATGCTTAACCTCTTTCGCACCGTACATAGCCACCCGTGCTATTTGGAGGTGCGGAGGAAGGACAACAAACGAAACACAAAAAGCAGTTATAAAGAAATTAGTTTTCAATCTAGATTTAAAAGTAAATAGATCCAGTGATTTCCTATTATTGGAAGGAAGAGCGTTTCGGCCGGCCGCGGAAGTGCATCTTAAAGTGCTCGATGCGGTGACCATCTTTGTCCGATGGCCAGCCAAAAGATGACCGGAGTTCAAGTGATGCGGAAGCGAAATGCAGAGGGAGAGGTCGCAATGTACAGTACGCGAGATGAAACATAATATGGGCGGTAGGGTTAGAGGAACATGTAATGTGACAGTAGCTTAGGACCTGCCCGTGAACCACAGCAGTAGCAGCAGCTCCGCAGTCCAGGTGCACGTGACCTGCGCTCGACAGTTGGTGTGCAACGTTCAGTTGACTACTCTTGTTGTGTGCGGTGATTAAATATTAAAGCAAACTCTCGTGTTGTTTGCTGTTTGGAAACCTCTGCTGTAAGCAATATTTTTTTCACAAGTCAAGGGTCACTCTCTCATGAGGCCTAACTTTAGGAACGGGGGAAATGTTTGGTTTTCCCTTTTTTCCCATCCAGGTAATAATAATAATAAAACTCGCAAAGCTAATACGCATCTTGTAAACAGTCCGAATTGACAAGGGTAATGGTGTTTTTAAATTGTATATCGAGTCTGACATGCAAGTTGCATCTCCAAACGCTGCTGTAGAATTTGTAACATGCAATGTTTTTGCACGGAGGCGTGGGAAATAACAGAAAGCGTCCAAAGCCAGTGCCAACAGTTGCCCAAGCTCTGTGGGCCTTTATTGTGATATTTGGCCAACGGCAGTCATAGCTGTTGTGCTATGTGGGAGAAACTGGGGTCCTGGAGGAAACCCACGTCCCGATGTACATGAATCAATTTGCTGTACTGCCATACCCTGAAAGTCAAGACATGGCGACCTTGTTGCCCACAGGAAGGGAGTTTCACGACATGTGTCTGATCCACCAATCCTCACTGCCTCCACAGTGCTGGTTTAGAGGTGTGCGCAGCCACCAGCGATCATTGTTCAAGCACTGTAATGCTTCAGGCGTATGCAATAGTTTCATCAGGGTAATGGTCAAGACGTTCAGAGGGTTGCCACCTGCCTGGGAACTGGCATCTGTTTTCGGGTGGCAGGAATTGATTTATATTGATAATCTGGTGTTGGTATTGTGTTGAACTGTATTACGTGGAACTACACAGTGTTGATGAACTTGGGCTGAGAAATGTGCCCAGGTTTGATCTACAGTGGAGAAGGTGGCAACCTTGAACCTTTCCTGACATGGCGTTAATTGTCGCGTTGGTAGTGGTCAGAGGCCAACAGATTATCCTTACCTGTACAGAGGCAACATTAAGCCATGATATAATCACACCGTCATTGATACCATCACACCCCTCCAGAGCTTCCTACTGTAACATCACACAGCTTCTTGCAGTCAACACCTGATGTCTATAGTATCTCAAACCACATCACATCTTCTGTCTTCCCATTCTCACTTCCTACTAACATTTGTGATGCATGTACAGAAGCTTCTCCATTGACTGAGTATTTGAATGGTTCAGTGTCTGTCCCAATGTCCCACCTCAGTACTTAAAACTTAAAACTGTGTGTGTAGGGGTGTTTGTGTGTGGCCAACATCAATGACAAATATATTAACGAGTCCTGGGCCTCCCCTAGGCTGACTCATCCATACATGAGTACCTGCTGCGGTGTGTAAACCTCACCACTGGGGAGACAAAGGTGGTCGGGCATAGTGCTAGTAACACCGCCCTCTCGTGTGCCGTGCCGTCATTCATAGGAGCGAGCTAACAGCACTTGCCCCAACAATCTGTTAAGGCTGTATTGGGGATCTTTGTCTTTCCTTCAATCAGAACACACATACATTGTCAGCATTTTCCTCTTCAGTGTGAGGTCGGGAAAGGTCCTGGCAAGGATTATTCAACACTGTCTTGCCAGGCACGCTGAGCAGAAGCTTGCGGAGCCTCAGTGTGGTTTCAGGCTGGGGCAGTCCTACACACGCACCATATTCTTTGTCCGTCCGCTCCAGTAGAGGTTTAGGAAATGTAAACAGGACCTGCGTCTCTGCTGCTTGTTGTCAGGGCCTGCGATGCCATTAGAAGGGCCGGGGCTTGGGGTTGTCCTTCACGCACTCGTGCTCCCCGAGCCGCTGCTCACGATCATTGAGAACATTTACGATGGAGGTGGCGAGGCCCGGATCAAGCTGCGTGTAATGTAGAAATAACATTCTTACACGATATACCAAAACTGTAACAGTAATGTAATGAGAATAAAACAATAATGAATACTCCACAACAGTAACATATCACATCTGCATATTTGAATTATAGAAATAAACTGCACGTTAATATAACATGTCGGATTCATAATAGCATATTTGGCGATAATAATTGTGCATTAAAGTGATATAATTGATATTATTTTTAGCATTGCGCAGAGGAGAATAATAATATATTTTAAGAATATACGTTCCAGTTATAACAGGCTTTTTAGTCACACGTTCGCAGTTTGGCGTACCAACGATCAAAGTCTATGTAACACACATATACATAGTTAATGTGATTGCATTAAGTAACAGCAATAGCGGTTCTCGCCATCACTTCTGAAATTTGTGCCAGAGAGGGAGGCTGTGTTTTAGGGGGGGGGGGCCTCGCTGCAACCTCTGGCCCAGCGTACGCGGACGCTGCAGGGACCGTCGCGTGCACGCGCGCATTAACACGCACACACATAACCACGACACTCGCGTCTGTGCCGTGAACGCTTGCCAGAGAGCCTTCCACATTTCACGTGGCCTCGGTGCACACCTAGCCTGGCACGAGCGCAGCGGTTCCATCGCCGTGTTGTTGTTGCGGTTGCCCGTGCAACGTGGAGAGCGAAGTGGCACGTACGCTGCGCTACGAACCCGGAGGCTGAAGTTCGATTCCTGCCCGAAAAGTTCCCCCAAAAGTTCCAGCGGCATCACCGTGGTGATCTGCGCGTGGATGACGCTGATGATGGATTGGCAGCCAAAGAAGAGAACACGCCCGAGAGGACGATCGCCGTGGAGATGGAGCTAATGGGGCATAGTTTAGTGTGCCAGAGAGACATGGATTGTGGTGTCACAGTGCTGCGAGGGATTGTGGACAGCACAGGAAGAGGTTGACCCACCAGGGATAGACCGCGTCTCATGGTGATGCAGGTGACAGTGATGGTGTCCGTTGTTAACGACGATGACAGCGATGGTGACATTTATCGGTGGATATGAGTGACTGCCTGAAGTCATCGCTGACGGGTGCCAAGTGCACAGCAGACGTGGTGGCGAATTCCTGCTGTCCACGTTGTATCCGCACCTATTCGCACATCACCTCGGATGAGTTTCACTACAACACCTGCTTCCTATACTCTGTGCCATCTTTTCAGATATCCTGCAGAACAATGTGATCGTATTTTAAAGTATTTCTTGCATGGAAGGTCTGGTCTGGTAAAGGTGCGTTGCTCTTTCCAGCTGCTTATTCTCTTCCTTTCCTGTTATGTCCTCCTCCTCGTCTTCTTCACACCTCCGGCACACTGCCTCCTTTTCCACTAGCTCAACTCTACGAGGGTAAGCTAGTGCTAGATCACTGCCAGCTGTTTCACACCGCGACTGTGTCCTCCATTGGCCTCATGAACCCCGCTGTCTTTCGTTCTACAAGCAAACCCAGTTGCTCCGGCTTCCCGAGGCACTGACATTCACCGTGTGTTTCATCGCTGGCCCTTCCCCGCTGTCCTCTGTATCCATAGTGGTATCGCCGCAAACTTGGATGTAGACTCGCTTGACGCTCCCCAGTGTCTTTGCATTTGTATGCCTCGCCTGCTTATGCTTGCCCCGTTGTTATTGTGTTCTTGGATTGGAGTCGTGTAGTTAAGGTCGCTTCTGTGACACCATAGCTTCAGAAACACGATTAAAACGTTCTAAGCAGTTGCATGTTGCCGCGTTCGATCGCGGAGGGAATGCTTTGTGCTTCAGTGCAGATTTGTGACTCTCTTTCAGATTGTCGCCTCGATCGTTCCGGACCCCCGGTAACCATTGTGACCATAGACGAGGAAAGCCCCGATGGTGAGCGTGCGGCTAAGATACTCCGGGTTATATTCGACAATGTATGTATGTTCTTGGTTCTTTCGGTAAAGTCACGAAGAAGGGAAACACAAGCAACACATTGCTTGTGTTGCAGTCGAAACGTCATGAGAATTTTATTGTTTTATATTTTTATTATTTTGTTTCCCTTCTACGTGACTTTACCGAAAGAACCAAGAAGATGAATCCCTGCAGTCACGAAAGCTTTAAATCAAAATGTATGTATGCTGAACTTATTTCACACCATATGTAGCCAACCGTGCTAATCGGAGGTGCGGGGGAAGGACAACAAACTAAACACTTCCACTGCGTAACACACTGCTAACTCCACAGGTCCTGCCGTCGTATTTAACAACGATTATTCTAATCCATAGGTGAACTACACTGTGTACCACTTTTTTTTGTTCCTGGGTAGTAAGTGTTATTTCCTACTCTTTGGTTCTTTCGGTAACGTCACGTAGATAGAAAATTAATAGATCACGACGTTTCGATTGCAACACAAGCAACCGTCGTCAGCGTGAGACAAACACAGCAGGAGAAAGGCTGACGCAGGAGAAAGAGCTCTTTTCTCCTGTGTCAGCAGTTCTCCTGATGACGGTTGCTTGTGTTGCGATCGAAACGTCGTGATCTATTAATTTTCTATCTACGTGACTTTACCGAAAGAACCAAAGCGTGTGGATTCCTGCGGTCACGAAAGCTTCAAATCAAGATTGTTATTTCCTAATTGCTTATGCCTCAAAAGTACAGAAAACGGCTATTATTCTTCCCAAACGTTGCTTTTGTGACCAGGACAGTGATACTTTGAAATGTACCTATTTTCAATGAGAAAACGGGCGAATTTGTGTCTTTTCGTTCACATAAAGTCAGAAAAAAAACATATGAATCAAAATAAACATGTATTTATACGAAAGTTATACAACAATGACTACAACATATTTAGACACCAAGGCGCACTACCACAGGCGGGACTGGCCACAGCGGACCGAGTTCTCTGTGGGGAGGAACAACGTCAAATGGGAGCCACTGGTGAACCCAGGGCCGGTTTACGATTTTGTAGGCCACGGGGTTACAGGTACTGTGAGGCCCCCAGTAATATTTTCAAAAGGAAAACAAAGTTAAAGAAAAATCAAATGTATTTTTACAAGGCTAACAACAAATAAAATTCAGCATTCACAAATGAAATAACTTCTCACTTCATCTCTGGAGGCCCTCCAGCTAGCGGAGGCCTCTGGGCTGCAGCCCCTAAAGCCCCCCGTGCCTTCATCTGGCCCTGGGTGGACCCCCGGAAGGTGCTGATGCCACCACTGCACATCAAATTGGGCCTTATGAAACAATTTGTCAGAGCTGTAGATCAGGAGTCGGCAGCCTTCAAGTACCTTCAAGACTTCTACCCTAAGCTGTCTGAGGCAAAGGTCAAAGCCGGTGTCTTCGTCGGACCACAGATAAAGCAGATCCTGGAGTGCAATTAATTCCCCAAGAAGCTCACTAGTAAGGGGAAATCGGCTTGAAACAGCTTTGTCGCAGTGGTTCGTGGCTTCCTGGGCAATCACAAGGTCGAAAACTACGAGGAGCTGGTTGAGACTACGGCACAATGGGCTGTAGGATGTCCCTCAAAGTCCATATCCTTGATGCTCATCTTGATAAATTCAAAAAGAACATGGGAGCGTACTCGGAGGAGCAAGGCGAGCGCTTCCACCAGGATATACTGGACACTGGACTTTGAACGCCGCTACCAAGGACAGTATAACGAGAACATGATGGGAGACTACATTTGGGGACTGATTCGTGAAAGTATAATCGTAAATCTCGAAAAACTACTCACTTCTAAATCTTTTGTCATCATTTTTGTATTACTTTAGTATAAATACACGTACATTTTTATTCATGTTGTTTTTTTCTGACTTTATGTGAACGAAAATACACAAATTCGCCAGTTTTGTCATTGAAAATAGAAAAATTTCAAAATATCACTGTCCTGAACACAAAAGCAAAGTTTGTGTGGGGGATAATAGCTAATTTTACTCTCTGTGTGTCTCTCTCTGTATGTTTGTCTCTCTCTCTCTGTGTCTCTCTCTGTGTATGTCTCTCTCCGTGTCTGTGTTTGTCTCTCTCTGTCTCTGTATGTGTCTCTCTGCGTGTCTGTGTTTGTCTCTCTGTATATGTGTCTCTCTCCGAGCTTGCATTCATTCACACCTAATGAAGGTTACTTGTGTTGCAATCAAAACGTCGTATTCTATGATTTATTTTCTTTTCTTTCTACGTGACTTTACCGAAAGAACCAAAGAGTATTTAAAAAAAAATACTTTTTAGACATAAGCAATTACGAAATAACACTTACTACCCAGGAACAAAAATTGTGTTGCACAGTGCTATCAATCTAAAAAGAGGGATCGAATAAGATTGCTTTTCTCTTCCACCTCCAAGCCTCCACCTTTAACTCTGAACTATTATTACTGCTACCATACAACGCACACATTCGGCCAAATTTGAATCCTGTTGTCAGATCTCGGGTGGAGCCACCAATGTTCCGACCTCACTGCACGTTAAGAGATTCCAGAGTAAAGCAGCAGTCAGGGTTGACCTGAGGATCCAGCACTCATTGATTCACTCCAGTCACTGGTGGCCAGTCACCTCCTTATCACTCTTCTTTAGCTGCTACCATGGTAACTGTTCCTATTAACTCATTGATTTGTCGACCCACGTTGAGGATTTAGTCTACAAGATACTGGCTGTTTCGTCTCATCCATCAGTCACCCAATCACTCACTCACCACACTGCAGGTCACAACAACACACTCACTCACCTACTCACTCACTCACCACACTGCAGGTCACAACAACACACTCACTCACCCACTCACAACACTGCAGGTCACAACAACACACTCACTCACCCACTCACCACACTGCAGGTCACAACAACACACTCACTCACCCAATAACCCACCACACTGCAGGTCACAACAACACACTCACTCACCTACTCACTCACTCACCACACTGCAGGTCACAACAACTCACTCACCCACTCACCACACTGCAGGTCACAACAACACACTCACTCACCCACTCACAACACTGCAGGTCACAACAACACACTCACTCACCCACTCACCACGCTGCAGGTCACAACAACACACTCACTCACCCACTCACCACACTGCAGGTCACAACAACACACTCACCCACTCACAACACTGCAGGTCACGACACCACTCTTTCTGATTCTTCCCTCACACTGCTCCACTTTGGAATTGCCTCCCATCGCCTCTTTTCTCAAGTTGTTATTATCATCAAATTTCTCAGTTCAAGAAACTTGTTTAACTCTTCATCTATTTCAACGTTGAGAGTTATGTTTGTTGCTGGCCACTTGACATGTTGAGCCTTTGGGCCCTGTGCTCATCAATTGAATAGAACAAAAAATGTCTTCCTCACTTCACACAAATTGAAAGTTACGTCTGTGCTACCCTGGCTGGATGCGAAAGTGGCGGAGTCTTTGCCTCTATGTTTGGCTCACTTGGGAGAAAGGTTCTGTCCTTTCTATGTTTCTCTTAAGACTGGAACATTCAGAGAATAGTCACAGTTGCTGAGCCGGTCCCGTTAGTTATTAATTTGGTATTGCAACCTCTGCAAGTTGAGCTCAATGCCAGACACTGTGGGCCCTTGATCTTAGTATCACAGCCTCACCCTGTGCAATTTGAGTCAGCCTTCCTTGAACTATTACTGCTGTTGAACTCCCACATGTTTTTAACCAAGGACCCTCTCTCTTAGATATGGGTCCTCGTTTGACACGAACGTATATAAGTTCATAACACACAATTACACTTTAAAATTGTTTACAGTTTCATTTGATTTCTGTCCAGACTCATGCTACGTTACCATCATGTATTTTCAACCTAACATGAATTTGCCGCTTTATTCACATAACGATTACACAGTCCCAATATTTCACACTTCTAAATGAGGACTTTCAAGCTACATTTGATCCCTCATACCATGTCACATGCGTGCAGCGATGGTGAATAACTAAAACACTTTAAGTTTCTTAGACCTATCGACATGTGATCCATGCCCAGATGTATCAATAATGAACATGAAACGAACAACACGGTCACCACCGTTCGTCGCTAACAGTGCTGTAACATCACACCACACAGCGCTCCGTCTGTGTCACCAGGCGCAGGGGTCTCGGGGCTGTAACACCACACCACACAGCGCTCCCTTCTGCTTGGCCCAGTAAAGGCACGGATGTGTGGAATCATGTTTTATTTAATCATTTCCTTTTCACACTCGAGAGAGATCGTGACGTTTGGGCATGGCTCATATGTCCTAAGACGCTAATGATTGTTTTGTATAACGTATGATACAGTTTTGCGTTGAATTATTACTCATATGACAGAGAGGGTCCTTGCCTATAAACATCTACCAATTCAACAGCATCGGTTCAAGTAAGCCTGGCTCTGCTGATGAGACACTGAATGTTGCAACCGGTCCAAAGTGTACTTGTGTTGAAGCAACGCTGCTGAGGCTGTGTATTCCCAGAAGGCCGTGCGGATGATGGGATGTGTAAAAATAGTTACATTTTGTACGTGGAAGGCGGATCAGCTGATTGTTTATTTTGTTAGCTGAATTTTTAAACATGATGATGCTAACGGATTATCTTGTGTTTTATATTGCGACTGTACATATTTATTATAAATGTGCAATTGATTGTATAAATTAACATGTTAAACAACATCAAATATTTACCTGATGTTAATAAATTATTAAATGTTGTGGATTGAGCCTCTGCCATAAGATGTCAATCAGTGGTTTAACGGTTTATTAGTATTTAACGTGTGCAAAATAATATGGGTTTGTAATTTATGTATTAATTTGTGTATGACTTTGTAATTTATGTAGTAATCTATGTTTAAGTAATGTTAAATTTGTGTATTAATTTATGCATTTATGTATTGATTTATGTTTGAGTTTATGTATAATTTATGCAAAATGTATGCATATTTTATGTATTATTTTAGGTATTAATTTACGTCCAATTCATGTATTAATTTACGTATAATTTATGTATATTTTATGTATATTTCATGCATTATTTATGTTTTCATCTATGTATTAATTTATGTATTAATTTATGTATAATTTATGTATAACTTATGTGTTCATTGATGTATAATTTATGTATTAATTAATGTATTACTTTGTGTATTAATTTACGTATTAATTTGTGTATTAATTTGTGTATTGATTTATGTGTGGTTTATGTATAATTTATGTATAATTTATGCATAATGTATGTATTAATTAATGTATAATTTATGTATAATTTATGCATAATATATGTATTAATTAATATATAATGTATGCATAATTGATGTATAAGTTATGTATAATTTATGTATAATTTATGCATGATGTATGTATTGATTAATGTATAATTTATGTATTAATTAATGTATAATTTATGTATCATTTATGTATAATTTATGTATAATTTATGTATGATTTGTGTATTAATTTAACTCGCGCTTCACTGTGAACGAGGCACACACAGACACTGACGGAACCACGGCCAGAGTTTTATAAAATTTTTTTATGAAAATCATCCAAAATACTGAATTCAATAAACTAAACTAAAACTAAGCAATTTTTTTTTTATATTTTACGAGTAAGGCCCAGCAGCGACCTGGCCACAATTGATAGCTCAACTAAGTGTATGTTTGTTGAACTTCTTTCGCACCGTATGTAGTCAACCGTTTAAATCGGAGGTGCAGGGAAAAGGACAACAAACTGAACACAAAAATCAGTTTTAAAGAAATTAGTTGTTTGTTCATCGAGATTGAAAAGCGCATAGCTCCAGTGGCTTCCTAATATTAGAGGAAGAGGGTTCCAGCATCTTAATGCGCATAAAGCAATGGCCGTCTTTTTCGATGGTTCGCAAAAAGCCGCTGCAAGGATGCCCAGAGTTTGCATGCTGGTTTATGCTCCTTGATGATTATTAGCAAGATATTGTGGCCCATTATTGGCTCATCGACGGGAACATTCATAGCAGCCAAGTACTCTAAACGCATGTTTCTAAAAGTGGAGGGAAAAACTGTTTAACCCGGAGAAAAATCCACGCGACCACAGGGAGAACGCGCAAACTTACAAATATACAGGCGTCAGGGTCGGGATCGAACCCTCGTCCTCCCGCATTCCAAGCGAGTGAGTTACCAACTTGCCACCATGAGAAATTCACGCAACATGAATCAAGGTCCCATCGTGACAGGTGTGGACTATACAAGGTTCAGACATTGATCAGTGGCTTGCGGAGCCCAAATGCGATTAATCAAAGCCTTCAAATCCAATTATAGATTTAAAACGTGTGTGCTCGTGTCGTTATGTGGCTGCTATATGTATGTGTCACACTGGACTCCCTTCCAAATGAGATGTTCCATTTAAAGGGATTTTCCAGGTGAAATATTTTCATAAGTAGAAGTGTGTATAAGGTTAATTGTATTATATTTGCAGGTACTGTCCTGGTGGACAGCATGCACATCAAGGGCATAGCGTCTGGGCCTAGTCCTACCATCAGCCTCGCGCTGCTGTTGAACGAAAACCAGTGGGTTCGCTTGGATCCGGCCTTACAACGACTCTACCTCAACACCGCTGGCCGTATTTTCGATCGCGATGTGAGTAACGTCTCGCAGAATAGCCAATCCCTCAAATGAAATGGTTATTTAGAGAAACACATATGCCTCCGTAAAAAAAAAATATTCCAAGTGATTTCTTGCTCAGATAAGCAAACGATGGGGCAAGTGTCTCCATAGGATAACCGCTGTTGATTTTTCCACAAACGGTTACTCCTTTTATCGACCACAGAGGCACAATGGGCTGAATGAACCCCTAAACTCGCAACCTTCCGACCATGAAGACGCTCGCTCTGCTGCCGAGCCACCCGGCCGGATGCCTCGACGTTTCTGTTTATATACTTTGAATTAAATTTTAGATCGTGCGCACTGCCCGCTTTGTTACGGTTCAAAAAGCATGGTGTTCAACTAAAAATATCGACCAAAAACTTAAAAGTGCCCAAAGACTTCAAAGTGCCCGATGAAGCACGGCGACATGCATGCTGGGAATGGCACTGAAGAGAATGAAAGAGGAACAGATGGTTAGGGAACACACGCAGGTTAATGACATCGCCACAGTTATTTATAAAAGTGAGTGGGATTGGGCAGTATGCGTCACGGCTAGAAGGGGCGACGATGGCCGATAAACAAAAATAATAACGGAGTGACAGCTGGGGAATGGAATGCGTCCGAGAGGAATGCCCCCCAAGGAGATGGAGCGATGATATCAGTTTTTGCACCGGATGGAGTGTCCGTGCTTGGATATAGATATTTACATTCCAGTGGGACACCTGCACTGTGTCCGCCATGACCAATGCTGCGTGACTCTACTTGTGTAAAATGCTGCGCCGAAGAAGGGAAGGTTCGAACTGTAGATAACAGGAGTCTTCCTCGGTCGACTCAGGGCCACAGATAACAGAAGCACAGATACTAGGATTTCAGATAAGAGCAGTTCAGGTGAAATACAAGAGAGATTTCACGTTAAAAAAATACACCGAACTCTCATTGATTACCATTCTAGCATTTTAGTTGCATGTTTATGGTGAATGATAATTAAAAGACATTTTTACAGTGGGATTGAACAAACTACCTCGTATATGGGTTATAATGAAATTTTACTTTGTTGTCGATATGAACATTCAAGGGAAGCATGAATTATTTACCAGTTAATTTTGAAATTCAACCGCGTATATTGATGTGGCAATCTCATCAACGCCGCAACCTCCGCGTGTCCTTTGTTCGCAGCCGCCAATTAGCATCCAATCCCTGACGGTGATCGTCCAGTGCCAGAACCTGAACGTGGGGAGCACGATCAACCACGAGGTTAAAATCCTGGTGCGCGACATCAACGACAATCCGCCCATCTTCCAGCAGCGGTCTTACAACATGAGCGTCAACGAGGTCCGTTAAGAACGCACGCACGTGTTCTGGCACGGAAAGTGGTAGCAACACCTGGCATCTGGCCGTTACCCCGGGGGGACTCGTGTTCAAAGCAGCATGGGTCCATGCCAGCCACCCATTTGTACGACAGTATGTATGTGTGTCGAACTTCTTTCGCACCGTACGTAACCAACCGTGCTAATGGCAGGTGCGGGGGAAGGACAACAGGGGTTCTCAGCCGTTCCCCCCCCCCTCCCCACAATAAAGACCACTGCTACTACCTACGCTCCCACTCCAGCTGCAAAGCTTGACTGAGGTCACTAAGGTCACAACTCAGAGAGAGATATCACGTGTTCTGCCTCTCATCAACTTGGTGCTAGTAAGACATGTATGTCATGTTGTGCATTAGTTTTGACAGATATCTGCGTCACAAAAAAGTTTACTGTTTTTAATAAATACATTTAAAACTAAGGTAGATTAAATATTTCAGGGAATGTTTTTGTTGTTGCAAAACTGTATATCTGAGTATATGGCTTGTGCATTGTGTAATTCACATATACGTAATTACCAGCAATTGTATAAACAAATTATTTTGTATGTGTAAATGGTGACGAGATTTTTCGTGATTGTAGAATGGGCACGATTCCACGAATCACAAAAGTATGAATCACTGAATTATTCAGAATACGTTCTTTACAGCGTAATAAACATGCACCATCGGCAATGCAATTCAATAACAACCAGAAGGTTTCACAAGCTTCATTGGTATTTATTAACATGTGAATCCATTGCTGCATATACGATACACAATGGAAATGCGATTTTTTTTTTTGAGCTGCAAAGTAGCAAGTGTGTCTGGCATTGCATTTTACCGCTGGGGAAACGGTAGGAAGCTTTGAAAGCGAGGAAGTGAGTGCCGTGTGCCGGGGTACGCGAGGCCACACACCGGGGCATGCGGGGCAGTCTGCGCTCACACTGAAGCTGCGGTCAAAATCTATTCGGTTATGACAAGCTATACGGGGTGCATTTATATAGAATATTGAAAATACTAGGTTTCAAAATAAATAAATCTGTCCATGAGCCATTTTCACTTGGCACCCCCCCCCTCTCCCCACCCTTGCTGCGCCCACAAATAACAGTCTCCCTCATCCTGTCACACCTGATAGAACGCAGCAGGAAGCAGTCAGGGTGATTGATGATCCAGCACTCTTCGATTTGCTCCAGTCACTCGCCCACTGGCAGTCGGTCGCCTCATCGTGCCTCTTTTATCGCTACTACAGTCATGGTAACTGTTCCCGTGGACTTTGCTCCTTGATTACTCCTCCCATGCTGAGAAGTTGGTCTACCAGACACTGGCTGTTTCGTCTCATCCACACTGTTGTTCAACCACCACACTGCAGGTCGCAACAACATACTCACCCACGCACTCACCCACTCTCTCAGCCACCCACGCACTCACCCACCCACTAACTCGCCCACTCACCCATCCATTTACCCACTCAGCCATTCACTCACACACTCAGCCATTCACTCATCTACTCACTCACCCACTCACTCATCCACTCCCCACACTGCAGGTCGAACCACTTCTCTTTCTGCTTCTTCCCTCACACTGCTCCACTTTGGAATTCCATCTCATCGTCTCTTTTCCCCAAGCTCCTATGACTCAGACTCTGTGTCAGCTCGCGAGACCCCATGCAGCTTAGCAGTTCTTTTACAAGGACGACGACAGCCCAAGACTGTCAGTAGTGACAGCAGTTACAGGACATTGCAAGGTGGGAATTATTTACAAGAAACCTGAAAGCCATGACCTTGCTCAATTCAACAAATGTGTTAACGCTTATCTATCACAACTTTAAAAGTGCTGTTTGCCGCTGGCTGTATGACATTTTGCTGAGAAACTGTTAAAAAAATAATGTTTGACACCTAAAATCGATTTGAGTTTGCAAAGTAACAGGAAGTAGATATGGTGATGCAAACATGGCCCAGGAGTAGCGTGCTTAGTGGTTAGTGGTTTGAATCTTGCAGGCCACCCTGGTTAATACTCTGGGTGAATTCATCATGAAATGCACACTGTGCTTCACAGTGGGTGTGAAAGATTGCATGACGTAAATGGAAAAGAGTAGCTTATGGTGTGCTGGAGTCATGGTCCAAATGTTGTATATTTGAAAAATTACCTGCAAAATTACTCAAGGGGGATTACACAAAGGTATAATTGCTCCCTACTGCCAAGATTGTGCCTCACAGGGTCAGCTGCCACTGGAGGTGCCCTCCGAATGTTTGAGATGACATGTGATGAAGGCACTTTGACTTTCTGAGGCATTCAAGCAAAGTTATATGAAAAAAACCAAGATTATGATACTAACACGATTTAGTCTAATTTCATAACGGTGACGGTGTTGTTGCTCAGCTGGCTCCCGTAGGTACCACAATCTTCACCGGCTTTGCCACGCTTGGAGCAGTGGATATTGATGATGGAGCGAATGGGCAAATCGAGTACTCCATCCTTTACAACCCCCGGGATCCGGTGAGGGCCGCTTTGCACACTCACCCCTCGTGCCGTGCTACGCCGCGCGCGGTATTCCCGTGTCATTCACAAACTTGCTATCCGCGATTCTGGCTATCTGCGAATCGCGTACGAACCCTGCACGACTGCCTCCTCGAGAAGAGAGAAAGAGAGGAGAAAAAAAGTGATGAGATAAAGTAATGAGAGAGAATGTGATGCGAGAGAGCGATGAAATAAACTATTATTTAATACTTTCAAACAAATGTAGTGACATAGAATCGGTCACTTAGCAGCATAGCGCTTGTTGCTGGCAGGGAAGGGGATCTGCAGTTGCAGCAGCCCTGACTGACAGCAGGTCACGTGATAGACCAGACAGAGGGATGTAGGGGAAACGTTACAGAAGGGGCACGTGAGGGAAGCCCGGGAACCTTCGAGTAGGTTCTAGAAAGGGGGCGTGGCCGGAGCGGAGCGAGGCCACGCTGGGAGCATAAAAGGAGGCCCTGAGCGAGAGCTCGGGGCTGTCATTTGGAGTGGGATCCCGTCGTGCTGCTGGAGTCTTCGTCTCCGTCTTCGCCGTCTCGGCGTCGTCAGTCAGGCAGTCTGCCAGCTGTCCTGACTGGGAGCCGTAGTTACAAGTGTGAACTGTTAAGGCTGTTAATAAACAGAGTGCATCCTACTCTTAGTGTCTCTTGAGTCAGTCACTACACACATTTTTATTTACTTTATGATTATTATAAAACACGTAAAGGAAAATTGTCATGTGTTTAATAGATTATTTATGTATTCATTCAAGGTAATTCATGAAAAGGATAGATTTTCGTAGGCCAATATCACCATCCGTGAAATTTGCTATTCATGAGCATCTCCGGAACGTATCACTTACGAAAAACGAGGGAATCCTGTACTCTGCTGTGGAGATGCCAGCCAGGCCGCTCCACGGTAGAGCGAGCCTCTCACCATCAGAAAGTAGAATTGGAGTTGTAAGTCGATGTTGATTGTGGTGAGTGCACAGTGATTATGGTGAGTGCCTGGTGATTATTTGGTATCTGGTGAGAAGAAGTTTTAGATGAATTGTGATTGTCTGGTGTGTGGCGAGCATTTGGTGAATAAGTTGTAAGTTATTTGGTGGGTAGTAGGTGAATGTCGTGAGTGGTGAGTGTCTGAGTGTGTGGAGTACTATCAGTGGTCTTCATGTTGAGTACTGTCTCACAGGAAAAGCTGAAAGCTGTGTCAAGTAACTGGTAAACACATGGAGGGGCCTTTGCCGTGTTGATTCTCTGCAGCGCTCCAACAACACGTTTGATATTCCGCTGACACTCACTGGTGCTGTGATCCTCCGCGAGAGACTCAACTATGAGGACTTCCAGAAGTATTCTGTCATCGTCCAGGCCAGTGTGAGTGTACTATGCGATACATGGGTCACTTCACCTACAGTTGTACCTGACAGGTATTCTTGTCTGTTCATGTTATTAACAACCCCCACGTTGATGTCCGCAGCATTGTGTGAAACACATGCATAAGATATGAGACACCGAGTGTCAAAACTGGTCCAGGCTTTGCTTGTGCTGAAGCACTGCTGCTAAAATGATGCACTCCCAGATAGCGGTGTGGCTTTTAGGATGTGAAAAACACATTTTAATTTTTTACATGGAAGGATAGATGTGCAAAGGATATGAATTCTTATGCTAATTCATGTTTTGTTTCTCGTACTTTCAACAGCGACGCCACCGATTATTTTGTTGTTTTAAAATACACGACATTGCTAATCCTGTGTGACTATAATTTATAGTAATGTCTTTCTTGGCAGTGGGAAAAATAACCGCCGTATATAACCGATTGCATTCACCAGGATCGATGTCCCAATGTGGCCGAGCGGAAGAGCAGCACAACCACGCTGAGCATCGAAGTTCTGGATGGAGACGATCTGGGTCCCATGTTCCTGCCGTGCATTCCCATCAGCGTGTCTCGCGACTGTCGGCCCGTCAAGTACTTTGCTGCCATCCCAGAGCTCGCCAGGCCAGTGAGTATTGGCGGTAGCCAAGATTCACATCGATGAGGTCCATTTCTGCTGACGCGGAGATGGAAACCGCCTCAGCAGCACGTGATCACAAATCACTCCATCAAAAGAGTTACATCTAGTATGGAACAGGTACACAGGCTTACTGAGTTGTAGGACATTTCAACAGGACCTGCATCTCTGCTTTATTTAATTGGTCCAAGGCCTTTCATACTATTATTAGGGCAGGGCTGTGAGTTATCTTTGCGTCGTTTTTCGTGCTTTTGGGGTCTCTGACCCTCTGCTCACAATCATTCAGGATCTTCATGATGGTGAGCAGGTCTGGGTAAAGCTGCGTGACCAGGAATCAGAGCCATTCCTTGTTTGCCTTGGTGTGTGACAACGGTGTTTTCTGACCCCTACACTATTGAACATCTTCTTTGACCTCATAGTTCAAGATGCTTTCTATTACTGTAACTTAGCAATTTCCATCGAGTATAGATACAATGGGAGCCTGATCGGTATCTGGGTGTGGTCAAGGGATAACTCGTTATTGGTCAACCATGCTATGTATGCTCATGATCTGGAAATTGCTGCTCACTCTGAGAATGAATTAGAGACTTGTGCTAAACCTGGAGTATGCTACTAAGAAATGGGGCTTTACTATCAGCCTCACAAAAAGAACGCACCGGTCTGGGTATTTTATATCATCAAATACTCTGATTTGCCCACTCCCCATGAGTGATAGGGCAACTGTGCAGAGTGTGGAGAGGTTTCCATACCTGGGCAGTGTGGTTATGACCAGCTCTGGTTTGGCAGTGGAGATCTCAAACCGATTCAGTTGAGCGGCATTACATTTTCATCAGCTAAATCTATGCCTTCCCTTCTCTATGCTTGCGAAACGTGAAGCCCTTTAAAAGAACATCTGCAATGGTTGGAAACATTCAGGCTGGCCTGCCTATGATGTCTCCTGTGTTTAACCAGACTATATCGTGTGAAGAGCTCACAGGACCTTTAAAGATTTTGACAGCCCCCCCCCCCATACGTGAGCTACTCTGGCAGGCGAGGCTGCATTGGCTAGGTCATGTAGCCCACATGCCCAACCACCACCACATGCCCATAAATTTTCCGTTTGGCCAGATACAGGGGGCTAAATAGGCACGGCGTGGGTTAGAGAATAGGTGGACTGATGCGGTAGGGAAAGATATAGAGCTGATTATATTTGCCGATGATGGGTATGAGGAGTCTCAAGATCGGCCTCTGCGGAGGAGGTTCATGACGGATGCTATTTGGCAGTTGGAGGTAGTCGCCCTCTGACAACAACAAGCAGAGCGCCGGGTGGCTAATATGTAGCAAATTGGTACCATGGGGAGCACAAGTGGTGCATCTGCCAGTAATTTCAGTCAATCCATAATAACACCTTGGTCTGTCCTATGTCCTCCTGCCAGTAAGCCTTCGATACTTCACGTGGTGTTAAGGTGCACCTGGCCTGGCACAAGCACCGCGCGGTAACATGACTGCCACTTAGTGGAGAAGGACAGATGCTGTTGTGTGTGTTAGTGGTGTGCGTACGTGTGTGTGTGTAAGTGGTTTTCTGAGCACTTTAAGTTCTTCAATAAACTCACTCTCCTTTGAAATTCCATAAACATTTTCTTAAATTGTTTACAAAATGTTTTAAAGTCATTCAGCATAACTGCAACTTACAAACAATGCCAACTGTTGCAATATTAAAACACCTGTGATTGAAATCATCATCTTTCATGCATTCACGTAGCATTTGTTCTAATTTATCTGGCCAGATGGTGGTAGAGCGAGCGGCTCGCAATCGGAGGGTTGCAATTTCAAAATACTGGTTGGGCATTGACATTGGTGACTAAAACGAGTTCTACTTTGGTGGTGAAATGAGTGTTGGTTATCCTATGGAGATATTCACCCCCACCATACAAATGTGTAATTTTGCACCACTGGCTCACTGTGGCTGTAAACTGGAGATGAGCGCTGTTCCACTGCTCATTTGAGTCAGCGGGAGATCACTGAATTTGCTAACCCTAACATTTGTAATTCTTTTGTGTTTTTTCCCAGACTCTGGTCAATCCAATTAATGTCACACCACCAATCGAAGCCATCGATCAAGACAGAAACATCCAGCCTCCCACTGCCCGGCCCGGCATCATCTACTCCATACTAATCGGTGAGTGCACGCAGAGGTTTGGGCTCGAAAGAACAGACTGTGTAGGCGCGACACACGAGGGGATGGTGCGGCCACCGGGCCGCCTTTGTTTCTCTAACACGCTGATGTGTACACTCCGCATCGGGTGCTATTTTAAGGCTGAGTCAACCTTGGAGAGGCTCTGCACCCGTTCAAATATAATTTGCCACTGATTTGTACTGTGACCAGGAATTGAACTCAGGTCACCTGGTTTGTAGCGCAGTACCATCGTCTGCTCCACCACTGCTCCCCACGAAGAGTGACAAACAGTATGAACTTGAAGCCAGTGCGGCTGAAGTCTGCAAGATTTGGTCGTGATTTGTTCAGTGTGAGTTCAGCCGCAGATGCTCATCCGACGGGGGTGCAAACACAATGACGAGTTTGGATTTTATGGCTCGCCTTTCAGTCATCGATGTCCTTCTGTCACTCGTGTCATAATGTTTATTAAAGAGGACATCATAAACAAGCACTGCTGTCACGTGGGCAGACCTTGCCTGTCAATGAGAGTGTCAATTAAATGTTTCGTAAATAAAATGTAAGCTCACGGATTCACCACCACCACCACCACTCTCACCATGTCCAGCCTGAAGACATTTCTCTTTTCTTCTGCTTGTGCCTGCTATCTATGCAATGGCCTCACACCGTCACTTGGAATGTGTGTCAGTGGTCCCCGTGGTGCATGGCCTGCTGTGTGTAAAGTCTGGCGATGTGGCAGTAAAGTCGGCTGTTTGCCATGGTGGCGTTTGGACGGGTTCTCCGAATGTGCACATTTAGTTAGCGCGACGCCAATTCGTACCCATGCTATGCAATATCCCATGGTCTCTTTTTCCCAAACCGTCATAGTAACAGCCTTGTTTAATCCAAGAAACGTGTCAATCTTATCTATTGCACCATTGATAGTGCTGTTTGTTGCTGACCGCTTTACATTTTGAGCCATTGGGCCTGTACTCAGCAAATGTAAAAAAAAAAAATGCAAAGCCTTTTAAACTAATGGCCAGATCTGGCATTATCAGCATTGACTACGACTTTTTAAACTGAAATTATTTGAACCACCGAGACTAGGCCATTGAGACAGACAGGACATGGAAGCTATACTCCAGACAAAATACAAAAGCAGACAATACCAATACTCATATTTGTCTCTTCACGCAAACATTGTTTTAGTTGGTTCAACATAAGCAAACCCTGGACTGGTTTTGACATTCATTATCTCATCAGCATGGTCGAGCTTTCTTGAACCAATACTGGTGAACTGCCAGATGTTTATAAGCAAGGAACCTCTTTGATAGACATGGGTACAAATTTTATTTGTGTTTCACACGATAAAGGATAGCACAGCGTAAATATGACAGTACTAAAGAGGAAAATATATTGTCGTGATTTGAATCTTAATTGAAAATGGTGAGATTCAAATTGAGGATTGTTGGGGATGAATCATTACCTGCCTTGCCTTCAGATTCAGGTTTTCAAGTTGACTTTCTCTAACCAGGTGAGAACTCGGGAAAGGAGGATGAATCCCATTTGAAAGAGAAAGGGGCCTCCTTTTGTATTGTATTTAATGTCCCTTTTGTATTTTACCGAATCCAAGAAACAACAGAAGATTCTGTCTTTAAGTTTTTTTCCAAGTCCTTATTCTGTGTTTAACCAAAGCTAAAATCAACCCGTGGTCTACCATACAAACTATCATATGACGGTGAATGTCGATTGTCACTCCAACCTCTGGCTGTAACGGCATCAGTCACTGTGCATCGTGCTGATTGCATCAGTGCCAATGTTCCACAGCTGCTATTGGTCAGAAATTTTAGACAATAACAATGCATTAGGTGCAAATGCGTTTAGAGGATTTGGCTGCTATAAATTTGCACGTGATAAGCCACTTCAATGGACTCTTCCGAAAAAGAGCCATATAACTCAGTGGGCCTTACCTGATTAAATAAAGATGGAATTGAATAAAAGTTTGATTTTTTTTTTCATTATGCCACACATTGTTGTTATTTCTATGCAACATTTTTTACATATAAGTTGAAGGCATTGTCTATTTGATAACCCCGTGTTCGGTTTTAAATGGGTTTTTTATGGTTGCTCTGGCATTCAATGTGAAATTATTGACATGTGGTGTTTGTGCTGTGATAATGACAGTGCAATATATTAGAATAAGAATACTGAGGTGGTGCTTATCTCCTGTTTTCATCCCTGAGCCAGTGGAGGGAATTCCATATTTCCTATGGTGCTGATGAGTCTATCCATAGGATAACCACTGCTGACTTCCCCACAAAGTGGGATGCATTTTATCGAACCTGGGAGGATGAAGGACTGAGTCAAACCCCAGCCAGGAATGTAACTTGCAACCTTCCGAATGCGAGCCACTCGTCCAATGGGCTGATGCACCAGGCCAGATGTTTTTTTCATGTTATGAAATGATGATACATTATATAGCCACCCAAATCACCATGCGCTCTCTTGTGATATGGGTATCAATTCCTAACATTTGTCTGTTTTTTCAGGCGACCCTGGGAACTATTCTGATTACTTTAATCTGAACGGGAAAACAGCTGAACTGCAACTTTTGCAGCCAGTAAACCGTGACATGTTCCCGCAGTTTGATCTTGTGCTGAAGGTAGGTGTGTGTGTACATGTGTGCACATGCGCATCGTAGTGTGAATGCGAAACACATTTCCATTACATTGAGGGAAAAGAGGTGGACTGCTTGGCTTTGTAATTGGCACTTAATATTCTGCCATGTTCTATCTACGGCTGGATGAAGGCTTCCCCATACCACACTTGTATTTTCAGAGGTTAATTGTCTGCTTATTTATTTTGTTACTTATATTCTATACAATAACATGCATGATTAATTTGTGTTGTGTATGACTGCATGTAGCTTTGCACTAAACTCGGATCTATATCTAACAGAGAATATACTTTGCCGTAGAAATATGGCAGCTTACCAACATTGATTCAAGCAAACCTGACTGCTGATGAGACTGAATTTTAAAGCAAGTCCAGAGTTTCCCATGTACTGAACTAATGCTGCTGAATTTATGCACTCCCAGAAGGCCATGTGGGATGTCTAAAAACACGTATTTATTTCTGCGGAGGGACAGACGTGCGAAGGAGGTGAATTGTTTCTCGTTGTGTCCAGGCTGAGCAGGATAATGGGCATCCACTGCCAGCCTACGCTGCACTGCACATTGAGATCCTGAACGAGAATAACCAAGCTCCGTACTTTGAGAGGACCATGTATCAAGGCTACATCCTGGAGTCCGCCCCCGTGGGCACCACCATCTCTAGCACCCTCCAGCTGGACAGCCCTCTGAGCGTCGTGGCTCTGGACGCCGATGTTAAAGAGGTGAGTCGGGGTAGATGAGACGAGGAGGATGCGGCCATCAGGGCCCCCCTCAACTTGTTGCTGTGCCACCTGCCACGATTGCAGTTAGCCCTGCAGCACCCCCCCCCCCCCCCCCAATTTGATTTTTGCTCATTGAAATATTTCACCTGGACAATTCCCCCGATATAGAACATCAAATTTTCAAGGGTGTCCATGGTGCCGATTGACATACACATAGCAGACAAATAATGACATGTGGACACATGTTTTGGATCTATAACTTATAGATTAAGTTTCTTATTAAGCTTTTCATACGTTGATCATCGTACCAAGTCAATGAACGTTGAAACTGGTCCCGAGATTGCATGTATTGAACCAATGCTGCTGAAATTATGCACTCCCTAAAGACTGAGCAGCTTTCAGATGCACTTCTGCGTCCGTCTGGAACGCTCTTCCTTGCGATATTAGGAAGCCACTGGAGCTATGCACTTTTAAATCTAGATTGAAAATTAATTTGTGTTAAACTTATTTTTTATGTTTAGTTTTGTTGTCCTTCCCGCGTACCTCCGATTAGCATGGTTGGCGACATACGGTGCAAAAGAATTTCAACATACATATATGGGATGTGTAAATCTTAAATATTTTGTATGTGCAGACAGACCTATGTGTGAAGGAGGCGAGTTGTCTCTATTTATATTCATCACTTGCATTCCCCGCAATGCCGCGAGCAATTTCCTTGCGCTGTGCTGCGCTGCTTCATGGCAGACAAAGGACCCACAGCTGCAGGTGTCGCTACAAGGCGCCAGCGCCGTGTTCGGGGTGACAAGCTCCGGCATCACGCGGTTCCTCACCCTGCTGCAGCCGCTCGACAGGGAGACGCGTCAGCAGTACTCATTCACGGTAAAGCAAGGCGCTGGTGGTACCGGCGGTGGCGCCGGTGGTACCGGCGGTGGCACTGGTTGCCCCCGGTTCGCCGTGCGGTGCTGGGGGGGGGGGTGTGGCCGGGCCGAGGTGGCGCCGCGTTGTTGACAGGGAGTGGCGTTCGGGTCAAGGTTCAAGATTTTTTCGGGTGACCAGGGTGGGAACTCGAGGACATCGTTTGCAAAAGTGACCCGGGTCACTGAAACGACAAAAGTGATTTAAAAAAAAATACATAAAAGTATAACAGTGAAGCGAACAAAAATCTGAGCAAAATGAACTTCTTCTTGGTTCTTTCGGTACAGTCACGTAGAATGAGAATAAAACAATAAAACTAAATAAGGCAATGAAATTATCACGACGTTTCGGCCACAACAGTTCTGTTCCTTCACTGAAGAAGGCCGAAACGTCGTGAGAATTTTATTGTCTTATTTTGTTTTATTGTTTTATTCTCATTCTACGTGACTTTACCGAAAGAACCAAGAAGCTGAATCCTTGCAGTCACGAAAGCTTTAAATCGAAAAATGAACTTCGTTTACAAAAAAAACAGTGCACCAACAGAAATCTTTATCAATGTAATACATTTTCCGTTACAAAGTTGGCTCAGGAAATTCTCTTTTGAAAACCACTCAGTGTAGGAGTAAGCGACATAAAAACATTAACATGAATTTTGGGTGGTTTTGGCACTCGTGTGTGAACTGACCAGGATATCCGCGAAATGCAAGCGAAGATTGTGCGTGGTGTTGTGGTTAATGACGAGCCTGGCCACGGATTGTAGTGCCCGTGGTGTTCTTATAGATATCAAGAGTGATCGATGAACTTGTGAAGACACGTTTGAGGTTCAGATGCCTCATCCAATCAAACCGATAGCCTCTGCCGTGCATTCCAGGATCGCCACCGTCGCTCCACGGCAGTGCCCTGCATTCAAGTGCCATGGCAGTGACTGAACAACAACAAAAAACAAATGAAAAATCATTAGTCTCCACTTCCCTTCTACCCACACAACGAGAGTCTGTTTACGTTTTAACTACCTTAGGCGCTCGTCCATCTGGCTAGATGTGAGACGAGTCTTTGGAAAAGGGGCTCTTTGTAATGCCATCAGGTGAACTGCCAAACAGGGTTTCCGTGCGAATGTTTTGTTTCTAACTCGCAGGTTCACAAAAGCAACATCATCATTGGCAGCAGTAGCCCCCTGCCTTTCTCTTCCTTTCTGGATTGCACAGACCCTTTATACATTAGCAGCAGCAGTACAGTGAGGGAAAAACAGTATTTGATCCCCTGCTGATTTTGTACATTTGCCCACTGACAAAGAAATGATCAGTCTATAATTTTAATGGTAGGTTTATTTGAACAGTGAGAGACAGAATAACAACAACAAAATCCGGAAAAACGCATGTCAAAAATGTTATAAATTGATTTGCATTTTAATGAGGGAAATAAATATTTGATCCCTCTGCAAAACATGACTTAGTACTTGGTGGCAAAACCCTTGTTGGCAATCACAGAGGTCAGACGTTTCTTGTAGTTGGCCACCAGGTTGCATACATCTCAGGAGGGATTTTGTCCCACTCCTCTTTGCAGATCTTCTTCAAGTCATGAAGGTTTCGAGGCTGACGTTTGGCAACTCGAACCTTCAGCTCCCTCCACATATTTTCGATGGGATTAAGGTCTGGAGACTGGCTAGGCCACTCCAGGACCTTAATGTGCTTCTTCCTGAGCCACTTCTTTGTTGCCTTGGCCGTGTGTTTTGGGTCATTGTCATGCTGGGATACCCATCCATGACCCATTTTCAATGCCCTGGCTGAGGGAAGGAGGTTCTCACCCAATATTTGACGGTACATGGCCCCGTCTATCGTCCCTTTGATGCGGTGAAGTTGTCCTGTCCCCTTAGCAGAAAAACACCCCCAAAGCATAATGTTTCCACCTCCATGTTTGACGGTGGGGATGGTGTTCTTGGGGTCATAAGCAGCATTCCTCCTCCTCCAAATACGGCGAGTTGAGTTAATGCCAAAGAGCTCCATTTTGGTCTCATCTGACCACAACACTTTCACCCAGTTGTCCTCTGAATCATTCAGATGTTCATTGGCAAACTTCAGACGGGCATGTATATGTGCTTTCTTGAGCAGGGGGACCTTGCGGGCGCTGCAGGATTTTAGTCCTTCACGGCGTAGTGTGTTATCAATTGTTTTCTTGGTGACTATGGTCCCAGCTGCCTTGAGATCATTGATAAAATCCTCCCGTGTAGTTCTGGGCTGATTCCTCACCGTTCGCATGATCATTGCAACTCCACGAGGTGAGATCTTGCATGGAGCCCCAGGCCGAGGGAGATTGACAGTTATTTTGTGTTTATTCCATTTGCGAAAAATCGCACCAACTTCTCACCAAGCTGCTTGGCAATGGTCTTGTAGCGCATTCCAGCCTTGCCTAGGTCTACAATCTTATCCCTGACATCCTTGGAGAGCTCTTTGGTCTTAGCCATGATGGAGAGTTTGGAATCTTATTGATTGATTGCTTCAGTGGACAGGTGTCTTTTATACAGGTAACAAGCTGAGATTAGGAGCACTTCCTTTAAGAGTGTGCTCCTAATCTCAGCTCGTTACCTGTATAAAAGACACCTGGGAGCCAGAAATCTTTCTAATTGAGAGGGGGTCAAATACTTATTTCCCTCATTAAAATGCAAATCAATTTATAACATTTTTGACATGCGTTTTCCGGATTTTGTTGTTGTTATTCTGTCTCTCACTGTTCAAATAAACCTACCATTAAAATTATAGACTGATAATTTCTTTGTCAGTGGGCAAACGTACAAAATCAGGAGGGGATCAAATACTTTTTTCCCTCACTGTAGATGAGCCAATTACCCAGGCACACCCTGGCTGTCAGTCGCATCCATATTTCTCTACTGCAAATATCATTGTTATTCTTGAATCATCCCCCAGCCCGATTGGATTAATCTGTTTCCCAAAAGTCTATCGCCTTCATGGCTTCCCACACCTCCGATTAGCACGGTTGGCTACGTATGGTGCGAAAGAACTTCAACATACGTGCGTATTTGCACGAGCCAAGACTTTTCGCTTCTCTAGAAATAAAACCAGTGATGTTGACCAACCGGCACCTGTTTAGCTAGAGCGGTGGTGACTACACACGCCTGTAATCCAGCGCTGTGGAGGAAGTGAAGGTTTACGGATCGCACAGACGTTGTAAAACTCATTTGCTGTGGACATGGAGGTGCCATACCCTGACTTGCCACGGGATGGGATAGAGTGTTTCCCCCTCTTGCACGTGTGTGTTTTCTGCAGGTGCTCCAGTTTCCTACCTCATATAAACACTCATTGATTGGCCAATGACACCTTAATATATAGAAAACTGCAGAGCTTGGGCAAATTTGGTGCCAGCTCACTGCGTGACTGCCCTTCTGCCTCTGAGCCGTTCCCTCTGTATGAGAGTGAGAAAATGCTTTGCAATTATTACCGGTGCCCCACCCTGCTACAACCACAAGCGGCTGCAACACACTTGGTCCTGGTGGTGAGTCCTGGTCCTGTTGGTGAGAATGTTGCGTGTGCCTCTGCAAGATGATGGCCTCGGACGGGGTTCTGCACAGCGGGCCGGCCAACGTGACGATCCTGGTGCTGGATGCGAATGATAACACGCCGGTCTTCACTTCTCTGTCGTATATTGCCAACGCCTACTCCAATATGATACCGGGTGACCCTGTCATACAGGTTTGTGTGTTTGCACACTTAGCTATTGATGATCCAGCACTCGCTAATTCACTCCAGCCATTCGTTCTCTCATCGGCGGTTAGTCGCCTCCTTATCACACTGCTATCACTATTATCATGGTTACCTTTCCCATGAACTTCACTCGTTGATGACTCCACTCATGTTGACGATTCGGTCTACCTCACACTGACTGTGTAGTCTCATCCACACGGTGTTCCACCACCACGCTGCAGGTCACAACAACACACTTACTCGCCCAACTCACTCACCACACTGCAGGTCAAAACACTCCTCTTTCTGCTTCATTCATTGGCTGCTCGACGTTTTGGTGCTTTGCGTCTGTGCTCAGCAACCGCGTAACAAGCCATGACAATCATCTCTGTTGTTTCCTCTTGCATCCAGTCGCAGCCACGGGGTTTTTCAACTTGTATCAGCCAGACACACTCGTGGGGGTGTTTGTGGTGTGCATGACGGGTTTTCATCCAAACTTTGGGGAATGGATGGGGCATATTCCTGATCCTTGTGAAATATTTTTTATTTTCCAAAACTGGTTATTAGGTAGCAGCAGGTAATTATAATCACCACAAGACGGTCCACTTGAACGTTTATGACAGTGTACTGGTGTGTGTGTGTAAATGTCTTAATTGTCATTTGTCAATTGAGAGTGGTGATGGTGTTACATGGCATGGTCTTCACAAGCAATGGGAATTTTAGCCATAATATAATTTTTTTGTTTAACCTTACTAATTGGCTGTGTCGGGTGGTGGCGGGTTTAACGACACATTTATATTTAAATGAGAATATTCTCGAGGCAAAGTTTGAAGTCTTGTGCTATTTCAGACACCAGATTTTTGGTCTACTTTTTTATATCCCATATGTAGTAGCTGCTGCATCTCATACAGCCAATGTCAAGCGTTCAACTTCTAAAAAGTGGATAAATCACAATTGCAAGCATAATTTATTCTTCAAGTTTTGCCATTTATATGTTAATGTTTATGTATTTATTTGTTAAACTGATGACACGGAATAATTGTTTATTTATTTGTCTGTGTCACTGATGGTCATTAATGGTTGTGAGTTGAACAAATGAGCATTTCAGCTGTGTACCAGGTCGTGTCTATGAATACAAGAAGTGCTTGTAAATATATACGGCCGTCAGGTGACGTAGCAACAGTGTGCATGGTTGCGCACCTGATGAGATATACAGAAAGTCAAATGAAACGTGTTGCATGAAACGCAATGTGACACCGGGAGTAAATATTCCATACCTTATTAACACGCATTCCTTGCTTCCTCTGCAGCTCCTAGCAAGTGATGCCGATTCAGGCGTAAATGGAAATGTGCACTATCAGATTCTGGCTGGAGACCAGGGCCAGTTCGTCATCAACAATGTCACGGGGCTCCTGAGCGTGGCAGGGCCCAGTGGCCTGCTCGTGGGACGCACCTTCACCCTGACGGTGCAGGCCAGTGACGGCGCCCCGCCTGCCGACAGAAGGTGCCTCCTGCCATCACGCTGTACATTCTCATGGCGCACTGCATCACGATCGGTCAAGATCATTCATTGAGTCGTGGGTTCGATCCCGAACCTAACGCCTGCGCATTGCGTGTTCTCCCCGTGGTCGCGCGGATCTTTCTCCGGGTCCTCCATTTTTGTTACCCCCACATTTCGAATCAACATGTGTTTCGAGTATTTGGCTGCTCTAAATTTTCACATGATGAGCCACTTATTTGAGCTGTCATTTGGCAGGCCGCTTCTGAAAATGAGCTGTGCAGCTCAGTAGGCCCTACTTGGTAAAATAAAAAGAGTTTAGTTTCATTCAGTATTAATTCACCAATGTTTTCTCCGCTTCATCGGAATCCCGCAGCTGTGCAGTAGACACGCAGCAACCTCCAAGCTCTGCCCCTCCTCAATGTCTCCCACCATTTGGTATGAGGTCTTTTCTTCCCCGAACTCGTGCAGACCACTCCAACGTCTCTCTCAGCAACCGGCCCTCCCCCATCCTGCCTAACCACATCGACAAACAATCGCCTGCCATGTTCTCTTGCGCAAATAATAATTGCTTTTCCTGTCTTGCCACGAAGTTCCCAGCATCACTTTTAGGCACCTGAGCTTAAATGCCAATCACTTATTTTCGAGCTGCTAAGTTAGAGGGCAGCTCTCTGATCTATACAGCAATACAGATGGCACTTCTGCCTTGAATGCACTTCTCTTTACGCTCAGGCGCATCTCTCTCCTCTTCCTAAGTGATGTCCATAGCCCATCAAAAACACACTTCGTAGCACCAATAAAGCCCACCACTCAGCCAAAATACATTGCAGAATACACTTCACTATGCTTGAAGTGTAAAAGCTATTTACATCTTACACGTGATGGCTGTATTGAGACCCTATACATCAGTTCGGGTGACTTTGATTGTTTACATGCTAAGAGCTGCAGGTCACGGACACACAGTAAGTACATTATTAATTTCCCATATAAGTAAAAGTTATTTCTTGCTTGAATGAGCATTGAGTCAGTGCTTAATTCTTATTTACAGCTCTGAACCAGTGATGGGTATTCCCCATTCCTGTCGTGAACCACTGTGGACTTAGGGGTAACTCATTTCACCAACACCAGAAAGATTATTATTATTATTGGCCTTTTCATTGACTGCAGGGATTCATATTCTTGGTTCTTTTGGTAAAGTCACGTGGAAGGGAAACAATAAAATAATAATAAAAAATAAAAATATTGTTTTATATTTTTATTATTTTATTGTTTCCCTTCTACGTGACTTTACCAAAAGAACCAAGAATATTATTGGCCTTGTTTACCCAGGTACTGCCAAGTTTTTACAATTAGGGGCCAAGCTGCTGCTGCGTGAGATCCCAATTGAGAAAGGTGCAGGTAATGTTTCAGCATTGAGATGTTTGGTCGATACCAGTTACATTGTAATGGTTTATTCGCTACGGGACACCGGAGGAAACGGGGGGGGGGGGGGGGGGAATATACAAACTCCACACAGAGAGGCGCCCAGGTTGTGAGTTGAACTCAGGAGACTCTCGCTGTGAGGCACAGGTGTGGCCGTTGCATTGCCCTGCCGTCCTTGATGATGGGCTGAGCCAACCTCCGGCCAGAATTTTTACTTGCGACCTTCCGAATGCGAGCCGCTCATTGTAACACTCGGCCATCTGGCCGGTTTTACTTGTACATCCGATATTAGTAATACAAATTTTGATTAAATAGAACAAACGCCACATTGCCAGGGATGTCTCTGCAAACAAACACAGGAAGCCAGCACAGAACTGGTGCGATTAATTTTCCTTTCCATCAGAGCCCAAGAGAGGCCAAAGCAAATTACAAACAAAATCACGTCCGTTAGCATCAAGCATCGAGACAAGGAACACATTCACATGCCTAGAGAGGAAAGAAATATAACTCGCCATTCATGAGCAACCATGTTTGAGAGTTGAACTCAGGTCGCCAAGTTCATAGTGCAGTGTTTGCTAACCAGTGCATTACCACTCAAGCAGAATATTTGTTTTATATTATATTTCAATAGGAGCCCAGTACAGAGCACAAACTGAGACGTGAGGGGGGGGGGGAGTACAGAGCGGGGTGGGTTTACTTTTATACAGAGAAGGGAAGAAAACGACTTTAAAAAATAAATCGGAGGGTGCAGGGAGGAAGGAGGGGGACAAGCAGAGTATTTTTAAATGCATCATTGAAAAGATTAATTACCCAATTAATTAACAACAAAAAACCTCTACGAAGCTGCTATGGGTGACTGTGTTGTTGTGTTGCTCGTTGCTCAGGAGCTCCATTGCCACCGTGTACGTCGAGGTGCTGCCCCCAAACAACCAAAGCCCTCCCAGCATGCCCTTCAGCTTCTACAGCATGGAGGTCAGCGAGGCCCTGAGTGCCGGTGCCTTCTTGCTCAGTGTGCAGGTAACCACAATACCTCGCTTGAACCACAATACCTTGCTGATCTCGTCAAGGAGTATACACCATCACGTGAACTCCGCACGTCCTCACAGCGGCTTTGTATGCATGTCGAACTTTTTTCGCTCCATATGTAGCCAACCATGCTAATTGGAGGTGTGGGGGAAGGAAAGCTCTTGGCTAGCCATCGAACAAAGACGGTCACCGCATCACTTGCTTTCAGATGGGATTCTGCGGCCGTCTGGAACTCTCTTCCTTCCGATAATATGAGCTATACACTTTAAAATATAGACTGAGAATAATTTCTTTAGAACTGCTTTTTTTGTGTTTAATTTGTTGTCCTTCCCCAACACCTCTGATTAGCACGGTTGGCTACATACAGTGCGAAAGAAGTTCAACATACGTACGTACAACGCACTGCAAGCAAGTGCTCACACGCAGAGAGAGGGCTCGCACAGCCACGGCGATGGGGCCGGCACGGCGGTGGATTAACACCGCAAGGTTTCGCAGTGATCGCCCACAACGCAGGAAACACCCAATACGCATTCGAGTTAACGTGGAGAATATGAGAAACAGAATGAATTAGCGGACAATGCTCATGATTCTCATGTCGGTCCCTACACGTCAACAATGAAAGTATTATTTTACACATCCCATCAGCCACATGGCCTTCTGGAAGTACGTCAGTTCAGCGGCACCATGATATTAAGCACAGGGAGACAGTGGCGCGGTGGTTACACACTGCACTATGAACCCAACGACCCGACTTCCATTCCCGGCGATGGCTAACAGCAGTGACGAGTGATATCTGAACGGATCCTGGGCCTCCCCAACTTAAACCCACACTGACCTGCGTGTGCGGTTTAGTGAAAAACACAACATGGGCACGGACAGCCCCATGAAGGATCTTGATTATGGCTTGTAGCCCTGAGTCAGGGGTGGAAATTGCACATTCCTAAGGCACGGGAGAGCATTTCCAATATGGTGAGGGCAGGCTTGTAGCTAATATTAGACTGGATTGGAAGCCAGTGGAGGGATTTGAGGATTGGAGTAATGTGGTGTCATATATGGATGTAAGTGAGAAGTCTGGAATGACTTATAGATCATCTGCAGTTTGGAAGTGAGGAATGTGGGGTTGCAATAGCCCATATGCGACTCAAGGCATGAATAAGGGTATTACAGAGATGGAAGTTGGAAGTTCTGTAGACTTGAGAGGTGTGGAATCAATGCACCACAACTCCCATATCCGTCAATTCCGTACGTGCTTTGCTGTCGAAGCTTTAACCCGTGCCTGTAGCACTTCTCCCTTCATAACTGAAACATTTTCCTCTATGCCTCCCCCCCCCCCCCCCATGTATGTACCCGTGTATGTATGTTGAACCTCTTTCACACCGTACGTAGCCAATGATGCTAATCCTAGGTGCGGAATAATCCCTGATTAGAAGCATTGTGATAATTAAAAATACCACCACCGTAATTTTCACCCACACCCCCACGACAGATCAACCTGGTGGTCTTGTGTCGTTTGCGCTCAGGCCGTTGACCGTGAAAACGACCCGATCGTCTACAGCATCAAGAGTGGAAACCCAGACGGAGCTTTCTACCTCAACTCCAGGTGGGCGCACATTTAGCCACACGATCGTCGCGTCGCAGCGATCTCCTGCGACTCGAGTGAGCATTGACGCTGTACTCGCCCTCCTGCTTACAGCCCTGAGCAAGTGGTGCAAATTCCACATTTCTATGACGGGGGGCGAGTCTCTCCAGAGGACAACCACAGTTGATCTTGCCCCACAATACGGTATTCATTTTATCCAGCCTGGTGGGACGCTGGGTGGAGTAGTCTCACTGACAGGTGTTCAACTCGTGCGGGGTTCCCTGGCTGGATACACCTGCAAGCCACTTGGAGAGACTATTCTATTGTTGTGTGTGGCATCAATGTGTTCGGGAGAGAAATGCCCACGTCGTGGTCTGCTAGCCACGAGAGGGCTTCAGGAGAGAGTTCGTGGAGCTTTTCTGTTCCTCCTCCTCCTCCTCCAATGAAGGCGTGCAGACCACAGTGGTTTACTGCATGGTCTGTAGTTTGGGTGGCATGGCCACAATAACACACTCCTGCGGCTTGTCTTTAATTGTCCACTTTATGAAGATGTGCACATCGGCCTGTTGCTGCTCTGATGCAGTTGACGGTTCCACCAGTGTCTTCGAGGAGGAATGTCAAAGCCAGGAGGTGTGACGTTTGGGTCTCCAATGAGGTGTTTATTCTGGACAGCCACATGATTCCACTGTTTGCCAGCAGCGTTCCTCCGGATCTGGGTGAGCCCATAGGATGGTGACTGATGAATACTGTTGCTTTGTTCATCGTATGTGCTCGTCTTGAGGGTTAAGCTTGCCCCCCTTTGTTCCTCAGCACTGGAATTCTGTCCCTGTGGAAGTCTTTGGACCGTGAGACAAGGGACCAGTACCAGCTGATCCTAACGGCATCTGACGGACATCCTAATGGGGTCAGCGAGCTGTCTTATCCATCAGCACATAACCTTCCGGCCCCCATCACTACCCCTTCATGTATTACCTCTATTGCGATCACATTTAATCATCATCACCACCCATTGCTTATCCACTGCTGGATGAAGGCCTCCCCACACCGTGTTCTCTCATTTGGCTGCCATTCTGTCACCAGCCTCACCCAGTGCTCATGATGAGGTACACAAGTGAGTTCAGAGCACTACAAATTTAACTGGTTGAGTCGCTGTCGTGTTTGGTTTTACATGACATTGTGTGTGTGTGCGCGTGCGTGCTCACAGACCTCAACAGCTACGGTAGCGGTGCTTGTTACGGATGTCAATGATAATGACCCCACCTTCGATCCTCTGATGCCAACAAACTTCTCCGTATACGAGGGAAGAACCGGTGTCTTTGTTGGGCAAGTCCGGGTGAGAAGCGCTTACAAATTTGGGGGGGCGGTGACATGGCCCAGCGGTGCCGTGTTGGCCACGAGTGGGTTCGCAGTTCGAATCTGGCAAGCCACCCTGGTTAATACCATGGGTGTTTTAACTATACAATATGCAATGGTGCGAAGATGAATATGTAATTCACGATAGTTTTTCATCGCTGACTTTTGAGCAACCCTTTGATCAATTTTGCCGGGTTGTGTGTAGTGTGAGTCTCTAATTGCAGCATAACTTAAGACAACATTTTATTGATATAGGTTCATCTTTATGAGAGTCATTGTACCCCCCCTGTAACAGACGGACAGAGCAAAAGCATTAACTCTGTCAACCTTAGTCAGAAAGGGTGAAAAATTATGACTTAGATGCTATTTGCACGAAAATATTGTTATCATTTTTCACACGTATGCATTTTTTTTACAGTTCCTGCCAGCATATGGTTTATTGGCATGATGAGAGCATTGTTATTGTTATTACGCATTCATTACACACACAGTTATTTCCACAAATGAACCACAATACCTCGCTGATCTCGTCATAGAGCATAAACCACCATCACGTGACACTCCGGTCATCCTCACAACGGCTTTTGGCTTAGCCATTGGACAAAAATGGTTACTGCATCGCACACTTTCAGATGCGCTTCTGCGGCCGTCTAGAACGCTCTCTCTTCTGAAATTAGGAAGCCAATGGAGCTATGCTGTTTAAAATCTAGATTCAAAACTTTTTTTACTGCTTTTTATGTTTAGTTTGTTTTCCTTCCTCCTTAGCACGGTTAGCTACATATGGTGTGAAAGAAGTTTAATATACATACATACAATAGCCTCACTGAGTCTCAAGACACTTTTTTCAGGAGGGTCTTGCCAATTTACCTCAGAAGGGGGCGATGTTGCTATGTGTAATCCCAAATGTGTGCTTTGTCACAATGAGGATGTTTGGCCAATGAGAGTTTAAATGCGTGGTTTTTTTTGCATTAATGCATCATTGTTCCTGTTTAGAAGCACGTTCGTTTTATTCTCAGGCAACCGATAAAGATGCAGGGATGAATGGGGAGGTGGTGTATAGCCTGGACAACTATGCGGCTGTGTTTGCAATCATGGCCAATGGGAGCATATACACAAAGGTGGCCTTGGACCGAGAAAAACAGGAGACCTACATGCTGACCGTAGTGGCCAGCGACCGTGCGCTCTACCCTCGTCACACCAGCCTCCCGCTCGCCATCTCTGTGCTGGACGTGAATGACAACCCGCCCATCTTCAGCCAGAGCGTCTATAATGTCACCGTGCCGGAGAATGGCTCTCCGGGTCAGCTCGTTCTGCGTCTCGAGGTGTGGTGAAGCTGTGAGCGTGTCCATCTACTAAGGCTCATATACGGTATATTAAATGCCTTGTTTATAGAGCCATGTGGCTCAGGAGTAGAGCGAACAGCTCGCTATCGGAAAGTTGAGAGGTCAAATCCAGGCTGGCGGTTGACTCAGCTCATCATCCCTCCAGGGTTGAGAAAATGAGTGGCACTTTCTGGAGAAAATCAACAGTGGTTGTCCTATGGATAGACTCACTCCATGCCATAGCAATGTGGAATTTCCAGTTCTGGCTTTAAACTGTCCACGATAGAAAGGGGCACTGGGTGGTGAGATGTTATCTCTCTTGCCTGGTATGCAAGAGGTCGTGGGTTTTATCCCGACCCTGACACCTGTATAGTTGGAGTTTGCATGTTCGCCCCGTGGCCACATGGATATTTCTCGTGGTCAACCGATTGTTTCCTCTACATTTATAAACATGCGTTTAGATTATTCTGCTTCTATATATTTCCACATGATGAGTCACTTCCTTGAGCTATCATTTGTGGCCAGGTCGTTTCTGAAAAAGAGCTATTAGCTCAGTAGGCTTTAACTGGTAAATAACAAAATAGTTACGTTTTTAGTATACAGAAGAGCATTCGATCAGAAAATCGCTTTGACTTTTGTTTAGAGAAGAACTTTTTTCTTTAAGTGGTTGCCCTTGAGATATGAGATACTGGTGGGGAAATCCGCTGATATTAAATAGTGGGAAAATACTTTGACGGAGTTAATGTTCCTCCGAGCAATTTGATTAATTTAATTTGATGACTCAAAAGCACACGATCAAACAATATCAAGTGTTGGGTCCTAATAAAACACAATGAAAACAACACCAACCACAACAAGCATAAACAAGTAGGTTTGTGATGAAAGTGGCTCAGTTGCAAAATGCATATACATACACACACAACAGTTATCTCTTCTATAAGTTTAACACAGGGCTCATGTTGCGCTGGACTATCGTAATTGGCAGAAGATTATTAGCATCTGGGCTGATAATCCAAATATTGGGTCCGAGCTCAAATGTGTTATACAACCCTTTAACACATTCACAAAAGCCACTCACTTGAAAGCCAACAGCTTTCAATTGCCTCCTCGTTCATTGAAATTGCTGGAACGGACTCGGAGGAGTCCTCTGGATGCACAACACACACATACAAGGAGCCATATTCATAATAGATATATATTTTTTTGGTTAGATGGCATAAATATAAATGTGTCGTTAAACCCGCCACCACCCGACACAGCTAATTAGTAAAGGTTTGTCACGTAAACAGAACAATGGCAATTCGTTACTAGTACAGCACACTGGTGTGTTGGAGAGCAAATCCACAACATTTACAATGTTCTGTTTACGTGAAAACCTTAATAATTGACTGTGTCAGGTTGTGGCGGGTTTAACGACACATTTATATTTACGCCATCTAACCCAAAAAACGTAAATTATGGATGATATTGGTCGCGAAAGCCTACGTGTTAAAAGGAGCCATATTGGCTGATCATGTATGTTCTTACTTATTCCCCACAATGGCCAAACATTTTATTTTGTGTTGCATCTTTCATGGTTTTATGTCAAACCAGGGCCTGCGTCTATTAAAATGGGTGCTTACCTATACAACATATGGCAGCTTAACCAACATTGGTTCAAGCAAGCCTGGCTCTGCTGATGAGATACTGACTGTCAATAGTTTTCTTGTTTTGAACCAATGCTGCTCAAATGATGCACTCCCAAAATGCTGCATGGTTCATGGGATGTGTAAAACGTTGAGGGACAGATATTTGAAGGAAGTGAATTAATTGCTTAGTTATTTATGTTATGACATACAGATTAGCTGCTTCGTATGTAGACTCGCTCTCTGGGTTGTCTGGCAATTGTGATGAGATTAAGTGTTGTTCAACTTTTGCTTTGTTTATTCGCAGGCTTCAGATGCAGATATGGATGCAAGCACCAGATACCAACTGCTAACTGCTGGGATGAGTAAGCTCTTCTCTGTGGATGATATCACCGGCCAGTTGGCTGTTCTCCAGTCCCTTGATTATGAGACAACACCAGGACATAAATACACCCTACTGGTCAAGGCTATTGACGCATATAACAGCAACCTCACATCCCTTGCAACGGTCTACGTCAACATCAAGGTGTGAATTAGCGCATACGCACTCAGGGTAGCTAATTTTCTCCCCATAGAAATGGTCAGGCACTTTTTGTAAAACATTTCTAACGATTATGCTGTTTACAAATGTAATCTTCTGTATAAATGAAGACCTGAATCTGTATTTCTCAAAAATCTCTTAGGTACGTACTTCTCGACAAGGTGAAAATGGTACATATGTAACTTTTAGAACACAAACAACAGGACCGATCTGCAAATCCGAGATTTTTCATTTTAACACCCCCAAATGTCGATTTTAAGTGCCCCATAAACATCTTTGTGCGTGTCATTCAGAAACCATTAAAAGTATAAGTTTGCGGTTTTTTTCGTTTGATATAGCATATTAAACAACAAATTATATTACAGCGAGAACCATTGCTCTCTCTTTTATTGTTTTTTAGATATTCCGGATTAAAGCGGGTTTTAATGAAATAATACACATTTTATGACTTTCAAATCTGAATAATTCGAATACGGTAAAAGATAGGAGTTTCCCCTCATAGAATATGAAGTTCATAATTTTTTTTTTCTAATAAAAAACAATAGAACGGAATCTTTAAATTCAGCGGTTCCCGATGGGTAGATCTTTTTAGATATAAGAAGTTGAATCAAGTCGTCAACAATTTATTTTTTGTGTGCAAAAAATACAGATTTTGTTAGCAGTTGTTAGTGTCGGATCGTAGATAAAAGTTGTCAAAGATCATATCAGGTTATTTCTTATATTTATTGAAAACTTTTGCCTGGCGAAGACAGGCTTTATGAACTAGCATTTAAATATTTTACTGTCTATTAATCAGAATCTGTGAAAATGCCAAGAAAACGGGGCAGGCTGTATTGAATGTGTTATAAATTAACATTTTCAATAACATTGCAAAAGTGCACGATCAAAGATGGCTTTGATAATGCTTGCATAACGACGTGTTGTGCCTTTGGGCCAGTGCTTGGCAACTGTGCTTAAACTTAAAATCTCCATCACAGATTAGAGTGAGGCTGATTTATCACAACAGTTGATGCAGTCATTTAACAAGGCTTTATCGCTGAGAGTCTGCGTTTTAACCCGGGCAGCAACCTCTAATTACAATAATATTCATAAGCGTCGTGGGGAATATAAGCAACCAAATATAACAGGCTATATGCCCCTTCCCAATATTTGTCTCTCCACATTGAAAAAATAAAACATGTATATTTATTTACACATCCCGTCAGCCACATGGTCGTCTGTGTGGAAGTCTTTATAAGCAAGCCTGACTCTTGCCGAGACCATGCATGTTGAAACTGGTCCGGAGTTTGCTCCTCCTCCAAAGAGGCCAATTTTGACACCACTAGTATCAGTGTAGTATCATGGGGACTGTACGTTGCACATATGATATGAATATTATTAATCGCTTTTTTTAAGTGTATATATTTGTGTGAGTGTGTGAGAGTGCGTGCACGTAATTGTTCGAGTGTGTTACTCTGCTAGGGAATGTTTATGTGTGTGTGTGCATTTGTTTTGTGTTTGTGTGTATCTATTGTGTGCTGTGTCTGTTAAATGGTTATATGGGGGATATTAATTATGTCTATTTGTCTGCAATTGTTCCCACATGCACTTGTGTGTTGAGTGTGTGCGTGTGTTTTTGTGTGCATGTGTCTGCATGTTATGTGTGATGGCGTGTGTCTCTGCGTGTGTCAGTGTGATGTGTGATGTGGGAGCGATAGTGTAGCGGTTAGCGCGCTGCGCTATGAACCTGGCGACCCGGGTTCGATTCCCGCTCACGGCCAACACCAGTGACGATTACCTGAACCGGTCTCGGGCTTCCCCTAGGTCGACTCAGCCTCAAATGAGTACCTGGTGCAGTGTGTAAACATTGCCACTAGGGAGGCAAAGGCGGTCGGGCGTGGTGCTGGCCACCCACCCCCTCGTGTACCGTTCCGGCCTTCATAGGTGCTCGCTAACAGCACTTGCCCCTACAGTCTGTTAAGGCTATATGGGGGATATTTTGTATGTGTGATGGCGTGTGTCTGTGTGCATGTGCTTGTGAGAGTGTGGGTGTGTGTGGGCATCAGTTGAGTAATGACTGACTTAAGGCTGCTTGCTGCTGCCCGTAGGCCGCCCGTAGGATCTCACGGAAATATACGCAGTCCCCTTGCGTAAATCCCGTAGGGAATCGATTATGGACAAATCTTGGCCTACGCAATGTATAGAATTGTGTAAGCAGTTCGGTACTCGGGCCCCTGACCACTACTTAGTTTTAATGCAAAAAATCTGCTTCTCCAATACTAATAGAATATTCTCCAACACTGTTTTATTTTCTGCAACAATATTATCGATGCGCTTGCAATGATTTTGTCATTTAACTTGAAATGGTGCCTCTGGTGGCAGGACATGAATGACTTTGCCCCGAATTTCACGATGCTGGACCAGACGGGCCTGGTGGCTCCGGATGCACATCGAGGGACATACATCATCTCTGTGCTCGCACGAGACCCGGACCCTCCTGTACGTACGACTTGGAGCTCTTTGCTTAAGATCCACGTGCCATGTTCAAGTTAGGCTTTCGCACTGACGTACGGCCAACCCCATTGTGGTGTGGGAACAGCGGTTGTAAGAAAAAGGAATTGGTATCAGTGAGGTGAGAATAAATAGTCATTTTAATAACTTCAACTTGTAACCCACAAAGTAGTCACTCGCTGTCGCAGAGAATGACTCGGAGGTGCGGGGAACCACAGACGAGCGGAAAGCCAGCAGCCATGCCGTGTGCCAAAACCAACAATTGCCAAAGCTTTGTGGCCCTCTATATATTCCGATGTTTTCAGCCAATGTGGGAGGAAACCTGAGCACTCGGAGAAAACACACGCACACAAGGGGGGAAACACCGTCCCCGTATAGATGGAAACAGATGGCAATTGGTCTACTTGCGGTACTGCCTTCTCCTGGTGAGCAGTACCCACGGCAAAGGAGTTTCACAATATTTGTGCAGTGATCCACCAACCCTCACTTCCTCGTGGGCCCAAAACGTCAAGCGGCCAGCAACAGAGAGCACTATCAAAGTTGTAATAGATGAGAGTTAATGTGCTTCTTCAATTGAGCTATTTTTTTATGATAGGAGCTTGGGAAATAAGACAATGGGAAGGAATTCCAAAGTAGAGCCCGTCTGAGGGAAGAAGGAGAAAGCACAAAGAGAAGAGTTTTGTGCTGCCGTCTGGTGGCTCAAGTTCAAATCCCAGCCATGGCTAACATTAGTGTCAAATATCTGAACCTCTCTTAGGTCAACTCGGAATTAAATGAGTATGTGTTGCGATGAGCAAACATTGACGCTGGGGAGGGTATGATGCTGGAACACAAACCCATCGATTGCCGTTCCAGTCTTCACAGCTGCTTGCGAGCAGCACTTGCCCCAACAGTCTGTGTAGGCTATTTGGCGTGGGAGCACTTTGTCTTTGTGCACGTGTGTGTGTGTCCAGTATGGCGGTATAGGTGTGATACAGTACGCAGTTGATGAAGCCCAGTCCAGCGGCTCCGCTGACCTCTTCATGGTGGAGGAGAACACTGGACGCATCCTGACCAAAGTCAACCTCAATGAGGATCCCAACACCAATTTCAAGGTGTGCCTCTCCACCAGGTTTCTACATGACTGGGTTGGACCAAAGTTTCACCTGGACAGTCCAGGAATTGGCATCCGTGTTCAGGTGGCAGGAACGTATTTGTTCCGAGATCTGGCACCGGTAATGTGTTTTTGAACTTAATAACATAAAATCCACGCAGCTCCGATAGACCCAGGCCGACTGAGAAATGTGTCCGAGTTTGGTTCATTGACAAAGGTGGTGTCCTACGTTTTACTGTATCGCTTTACATCCGTGTGTGTTTCTCGTTAGCTGGTTGTGCTGGCTCTCGATGGAGGAGATCCCGTTATGACCAGTAGCACGACAGTCACCATTACTGTGCTGCAGCCCTCTGTCATCCCTCGCTTCACACAAGAGGAATACAGGTACACACCAATACACATGTGCCATCAACACACTGCAGCACATCTTGGGTCAGAGATCTAGGGGTTTAATGGCGAGACAGGATAAGCAACGCATAAGCAGAAGAGAACAGATTTAACCCGTTGCCCGCAACCTCCCCCAGATCCATTCAGATGCTAAGGTAGCTGTTGCCAGGGCTGGACAAAAACAAAAAATCTGACCAGTCAATCTCACGCCACCACGCAAAGCTAACATCTCATACGATACACGACACGGTGTTTGGCTAAAATCCTGGGGCATTGTGTTAGTGCCAACCGACGAGCAGATGATCAAGGCAGAGCTTGGAGGTTGCTGCGTGTCGATTGACTTTTCCAGTCATCTTCGCAGCATCAGCAGCTTTTGGCAAACCAAAGACGGTCACTGTATTGTGTGCACTTTCAGATGCGCTTCTGCGGCCGTCCATAACGCTCTTCCTTCCGATAGTGGGAAGCCACTGGAGCTATGCACTTTTAAATATATAGATTATAAACTAATTTCTTTCAAACTGCTTTATGTGTTTAGTTTGTTGTCTATCCCTCGCACCTCCAGTTAGCACGGGTGGTTTACATACGGTGCGAAATAAGTTCAACATACATACATCGTGCAGCAGCCGCGGGATCTGGCGGTGGGAAGTGTGCGCTGGTAGCGGGGAAGTGCGGCTTCGGCCATGATGACGTCTTGATCTTGACAATGGAACACCACAATTATCAAAATAAGATGGTGTTGCAATAGACTTGGAGAATATTAACAATTGTGGAATCGATTTCAATGCAGTGGGGGGTTTTTTTTTTTCTGGCCGCTTATGCTTAGCAAGTGTGTTTTTTTTAAAATATTAAAAACATTTGATAATCTTATGGAAAAAATCTGCGGAGAATATTACACGTGAGAACGAGTGTCGTGCCAGATTGACGCAGCAATTTTCTCAGTCGGTGTTAGCTGCTGAGGTCGTGACGGGTTTTTCTAATTCTCGTTGCTTTAGTCTCTTTGACTGTTCCCGTTCTGTTGTAATGTTTGACTGATGCCTATTTTATTGAGGGCTATATTGACACGTAAAATAAAGATTGATTGATTGAGCAATGTTTACCAAACTCGCGATGACAGAGGTTAAGACCAAACCCGCGCATCGTTTTACAATCATTCAAAACTCTACACAATGAATCACTTTATGTTTGACAAGTTTGCATTTTCTTGGTTCTTTCGGTAAAGTCACGTAGAAGGGAAACAATAAAATAATAAAAATATAAAACAATAAAATTATCACGACGTTTCGACTGCAACACAATCAATCATCATCAGGTGTGAAAACCACAGCAAGAAAATTTGAAAAAAGTGCCAAATCGCTCTCCGTGGTGCTAACGTTAGGAAAAAACCGTCACTTTTTTCAAATTTTCTTGCTGTGGTTTTCACACCTGATGATGATTGCTTGTGTTGCAGTCGAAACGTAGTGAGAATTTTATTGTTTTATATTTTTATTATTTTATTGTTTCCCTTCTACGTGACTTTACTGAAAGAACCAAGAATATGAATCCCTGCAGTCACGAAAGCTTTAAATCAAAAGTTTGCATTTATCTGTTTGTGTTGAATCTACGCCGTCTGACTACTAAATAGAGGTCTTGTCGTGTGTGTAGGTCGGAGCCCATCAGTGAATACGCTACTATTGGCACAAGTGTTGTCATGGTGACAGCGTCGGCCATTAACCAGACCATCACCTACTCAATCACCGCTGGCAACAATGGGGGTTAGTCTGCGCACGTGTCTGTGTGTGTGTGTTTGCCCCGTGACCTCCTGCCAGCGGGCGTTCGACACTTCACGTGGCCTCAGGGTGCACATAGCCTGGCACAAGCGTCGTGGTGACGTCACCGCCACTTAGTGGCGAACGGCGGTCGTTGTTGTTGTTGTTTGTCTTTTGGAGAGCGGTAGCATATCGATTAGAGCGCTGCACTACAAACCCGGCGACCCAAGTTTGCTTCCCGGGTACGGCCAATACCAGTGTAATGAGAGATGCACCATCCAGTGGTTGCCAGAGGGTAACTGGGTACAGGCATTATTATGTAATCACCATCCAATCCTGAGAGGGAACAACATCTGGGCCAAAGGTGACGGGCGGAGCCGAGAGGGACGCTTCGGGAACCATCGGGAAGGTTCCACGAGGGGGCGTGGCTAGTGGCGGAGCCTAGCTCCGCCGGGGTGAATATAAGGAGAGGCGGGGGAGGGACTCGTGGTCGGTGTGGGAAGCCTTGGGTCCGGACTGCGTCGCTGCTCGCCATCTCCTCTCTTCGCCACCGACCACGTGGCTTGTTCCCAAGTGAAGCCCGTCTCTTCTCTCCGGCACGCCGCCAACCAGCGGCGAAGCCGGGGGAGCGGAGCGAACCTCGCTAGCGGACCGGAGAGAGACGCCTCGTCCATGGCGTTGTGAGAAGGGAAATTACCCGGAGAGGGAAGGAGCGGAGGCTGTGCAGTGCTACGGTTGTGGTTTTATTGCTGTGGTTTTCACACCTGATGATGATTGCTTGTGTTGCAGTGGAAACGTCGTGAGAATTTTATTGTTTTATATTTTTATTATTTTATTGTTTCCCTTCTACGTGGTGACTTTACCGAAAGAACCAAGAATATAAAAGAAGCACCCTTACAGGAATCGTTCTGGAAGTTGTTTATTACACAAGTAAAAATTATCTGAACCGGTCTTGGACTTCCCCTAAGGTCGACTCAGCCTCAAATGAGTACCTGGTGGGACGTATGAAAACATCGCCACTGGGGAGTGTTGTATATATAGGCCTTTTTTCCAAAAATTTATATTAAAAATAATTCTGCCATATTTTTCTAATAATAAAATAACCGATAAAATAAATAAATAAAACACCCTCAAACCCGCTACCTCCCACAAGCACAAAGCATCTGGAGGTCGTAAAAGGCCATTAAATAATAAACTCCGGGGCAAAGGGAGGTTAACGACGATCTGCAGAATCTCCAGATTGCCAAAGGACCGCATGCTTGGCGCTTTGGACAGGTCACAAACAAATATCCAGAATCACAGGCACGGACACAGAGCACAGGGCAAACGGACATTATAACTGATATATTTTTTTTGTACGGCAAAAGTTTAAGCTTGGCTATAAGAATAAGTCGACATGATAGACTGCAGTCTATATTAGTGGCTTTATTATTACTTATTTTATTTCACCCTTATTCAACTCACATATTGTTTCTTATTGTACATTTCTATCTATGTAACTTCACCAAGAGATCCAAGGAATGTGAATTCTGGCAGTCAAGAAAGTTGAGGGCTTGGTTATATCTCCAGCTTTGGGATATCAAAATTTAACTTGAGAATAAAACACCGATCCCTGGTGACACAGACTTATAACAAAGCTTGGCAAACCCTCGAAATACCGGAGGTAACATCTAATAACTTTACAAATCTTGGTTAAACATAAACCAAATAATAATCACAAGAGATTAGACCTAGGGTAACTCAAAAGAGATACAAGAAAATAGGTCAAACACGCACGACCAGATAATATGTATTCCATGGAATCAGAGCCTCCCCGGCCGCCTTTGTCTTCCAAAAATTGACACAAACACATGGTAGCCATAAATACGTATGGAAGGTGCGTCCCCTCCCTTAGCAGACACCACGAAGAGAGGGGTTGGGAGTGCAAACAAACATCAATTTGATGTAAAGCAGCCCGCCCGGGGTCACCAAGGGAAGAGGGGGGAGGGGGCAATCAGGCGCGGCCGCGGGGGGAGAGCATGACGGAGAAAGCATCTGTTTTTTTTTCCTCGCAAGAGACGCACAGAGGGGAGACATTTTCAGATATAAACAGCAACACGACACACACATTTTAAGCTCGGCTCGGGACAGCTCTGCAAGGAGGAGCGCTGCGAATGACAAGAGTCTTGCAGAGGGGCAGGCTGGCTCCGGGGCATGGCCTCGAGATCAACCATGGGTGTCGTGTCTCACAGCGAGAAGGGACGATGCGTTGTTAAGAGCTGAGTTCGGCATGGACCGACAGAGTATCGCTGAAAGTTTTATTCTACATTCATTCTGATGTTTTAAGTCGCTTGCGGAATCGAGGATTGCGATAAGCTGTATCGTACTAAGCTATCAGCGTTGTGTAAGAGGTGTGCAAATACAATTTTCAAGTTTTGAGAGCGAGTGATCCAGCCAGCGACGAGCAGCTCACAGCAAGAGCCCTCCTGGAAGAAGGGTGAAGAGCACGAAAGTTGAGCAGCAACGACAAAGCGCAGCCCTGAAGTAAGGGCGGGTGTCCGCGTGAAGCTGGCAGCTGCACGATCAAGGAGAGAGCAAGAGAAATGAGAGGGAAAGAGTGCCGAGCGACGACAAGCAATCAACCTGGAGAAAGGGCGGAAAGCGCCAAGCAACGACCAAGCCAGCATCACAGAGAACCAGCTCCACCGAGCAAGGGTGACAGCTGCCAGCGGACAAGCGTTGTGCTGACTCGGCTCATCCAGCAGGGGAAAGAGCCTGACCGGCCGCCCGTGAGCGAGAGTGTCGGCGCCAGCGAGCGCGCCGTGGGTTCGACCCACACGCACACCGAGCGGCACCAGCTGGGAACCAAGACAAGAGTGAGGAACTGCAGCGAGCGGACGAGCTGCGGGCGCTATCTGACGACGGGATCATCGCGCACCGACGGCGAGCCTCGTGGCGACTCTTCCACCCAGCTGTGGACCGGAACTGTGGGAGAATGGAGAAGCATAAATTGTGTACATTTTTTTAATGATTGTTATTAAGCATTTTGATTCGAATGATTCTACCAGGGCTTTTCATTCTGTGGAATGAATATGTGATTGTTATAATTGTAGTCTCCATTTTGCTTCGTTCTATTACAAAGTTTGAAGTATTTTTTTATAGTTATAATTACTTTAAATATTTGATAATTATAAGAGAATTTCAATATCATATTCTGAACATCTGCAGTTTTAGTTAGACGATGAATATTTTCAAGTGAATTTTATGCAAAATTTCAGCTTTCCAACGCCTCCTTTTTAATACATGTTTTCTCCTACAACATCAGAGTGCAGCGCCACATTAAATACGCACTACAATGACAATAGTTTAAAGCGATTTGAAGTATGTTTTATTTTCAAAATGGAAATATGGTTTTGGGGGGGGTGGGGGGCAGAGCTTTGTGACGTCATATTTGAGGGGTGTCTGAATTTTTGTGACGCCGTGTGACGAGGTGGGGGGGGGGTCAAAAATCGGCCAAAATCGCGTGACGTCATTTATGGACGGCCCCATATGTCTGAGATGGATGCTTGGAATTTCGTGGCAAGACAGGAGAAGAAATGCACAGGTCCGGAAGCAAACACGACGGGCGAGTGTTGTCGATGTGATTAAATGTTTGCGTTGGGTGGAACGTGTTCAGGATGGGGGAGGATAGTTTAAGCGACTTGGAGGTTGGGAAGAGAACATGGCAGGTAAGCGTTGTAGATGCGAGCGGGCAAAAAAACAGCTGCGCAATGCGTGTGAAGGTTACGTCTCATTTCTTAACCTCCCCTCCCAATCCACCACTGAAATCGAGTGCTTACGTTGCTTATTCCTATAATGTCTTTGGGTTTTTTTTTTCCTTCCTCCGCAGACACATTCATTATTGAGAGCAAGACCGGAGTAATCAGAACCAACAAGCCACTTGACTTCGAGAGCACTCCGCAGTACCAGCTGGAGGTGCAGGCTGACTCGCTCCCCACCGGACGCTCAGCCTTGCGTTCCACTTCTCGCTGTGAGGTTTTCCATTTATTTATGAAACATGATCGTCTGTACAATCACGCTCATTGCAGTAATATGGCACTTAACCGGCCAGCTGGCTCCGCGGTAGAGCGAGTGGCTCGCAATGGGAAGATTGTGAATTCACTCCCTAGTTGGGGGTTGACTCAGCCCATCGTCCCTACCTCTGGAGTCGATGAAACAAGTACCACTTTGTGGGGAAGTCACCCGTGGTTGTCCCATGGGTAGACTCGTCACACCGTAAGAATGTGGAATTCCCACAATTGGCTCACGGCTGGAAAACACGATGAGCACCACCGCAGTGCTCAATTGAGCATAACATAACGTTGATAGAGCGCTTGATGAGAAATGCCCAATGAACTCAAGTACTTTACATCACATCTTATCTAAAACATTGGAAAGGGGACCCGCAGTGACAGCTGTCCCTGTGTGGCAAAAGGTGACTCAGTACCTGGCCTGCAAGTGGGCATTAGTCTACTCATAAGGGTCGATGATTGATGTGTGTAACCACAATTGAGTAATCTTCAGGTATATTTTCAGCATTGGGATATTTGGCTAATAACAGTTACAATTTATGCTCTTTAGCTAGTGGAGGAATCTCGAGAACTGAGAGGAAACCCATGTAGAACAGGGGGGAGAACATAAAAACTCCACGCAGAAAGTGTTCAGGAATTCAGGGATTTAACTCAGGGCTTCTGGGTCATCAATGTTACCACTGTGCCACCCGGCTGCCTCAAAGTTGCATGATCTGGCAAAAAAAGATGGCAGTGATTATGCTGATGATGGTGTATAGTCGAATCAGCATTTGCTGTAATGGCATTTTGATCTTGAATTAATGTGCAGTGCATTAAGGTTTACTGACTCGTCTTGGTGATGTTGGCCTCCTGTTTATTTCCAGCAAACTCGGCAATTGTGATCGTGTACGTGAAGGATGAAAATGACAATGCTCCCATATTCAATCAAACACTGTATTTGGGAGGCGTTACAGAGGAGACCAGAACGTTTACATCTGTCTTGCAAGTCAAGGTGAGGGATTATATATGAAAGTCAACATCATAGTCACATTTTGTTTTGTTATCTTACCAGAATTTCATGAGAATCTGTGCAAATATTGTTGCAATATATGGAGCGTAATTGTATCCCCTTCAATAAGGAAACACAATGGAAGAAACATGATGAAGCTGACATTGTCAAAAATAATTTAAGGATAACATTAAAAATATATATGGCCGTCATTCCATTCCACAGCCCCATTTTTTTCCGCAAATGAGGCTCCATTCTGCGATGAGTTTTTGATGAGGGTCCGATTCCCAACTGTGCAACGGCAGAATGCATCCACATTTGTGAGATTACAGCAGAGTTACGGTTGAGTAGCAAAAGAAATAAGCAGGCACTAGAACGCCTTCCCACATCCGTAGCTCCATATAAAAAATATATATATTTTTTACACATCTCATCAGCTGCACAGCCCTGCCAGGAGTACATAATTTCAGCACCATCGGTTCCACACAAGCAAAGCTCTGGAGAAATGTCGACACTTAGTGTCTCATCAAGCAAAACGAGGCTTGCTTGAACCAACACTGGTTGGACTGCAAGATGTTTATAGGCAAGAACCCTCTTTGTTAGATATGGGTCCTAGTTCGACACGAAAAAAAATGCATAAAAAACACAACAATTATTCGAGTCATTGTGGAGAATGTAAATAACACAATAAGTATAGGACGGAGGCTATAGAAGTGCCAAGGAGATGCGGACCTCACTGCATTGTTGTAACTTGCCGATGCACGCCTACTGGGCATCTGTGAAAAATAGCTTTATAGCTCATCGGATTCCTCCAGTCTAAATCAAGATTTTGATTCTGTAATCCCGCCGCACGGTGGCAGAGGTGACGCCGTGCGACGTGCTGACGGCATCTCACCACGCGCTCGTTACCTCGCCCATTCCTCCTCCAGGGTTTGGGCCTGCGACGCCTGCCAAATCCCCACTCTCAGTGAGGATGGGTTGGAGTGCTCTGGAACAATCCTTCAAGTTCTGGCAGTTGATTGGAACAGAATGCAAAGAAGTGTTCTGAACGAACATCGCATCATGCAAATACATGACTAGAGCACAGGCTGTGAGCATTATAGTGTACTTCTATACGATAACTAGTACTACACAACAGCCACTTCGTAAAAAATGAGCAGCTTGAAAATCACAATTAGAATCAGAATATTTATTCATACTGGAGGAATTCGATGAGCTATGAAGCTCTTTTTCACAGATGTCCATTTAGGGGCAGGTCAGAACGTTAAAACAACATACTCTAGGTGACCTACGTGACTTTACCGAAAGAACCAAAGAGTATGGATTCCCGCAGTCACCAAAGCTTCAAATCAAGATTAAAACAGCAACAACAACCAGTACAAAACCACGATAGGAATGCAAAGTATCGGAAGGGTAAACAAATCACTTACAAAAAAATATATACAAATAAAACTAAACTAATTGTTTTATTTTACCAGGTAAAGCCTGGTAAAATAGAACAGGTAAAGCCTGGTAAAATTGAGCTTTTTCTCTGTGGCTCGTAGTGCCAACCTTCATGGTTATGAAGTATCTGTAATAATGACTGTGGCCCGTAGAGCCAGACAAAGGCTTCTATAGTATTCCTGAGGTTCACCGTTAGTTCCAAAGGCTCGCAGAGGCAGTCAAAAGCATCCTTATTCATAAAATGCAAAACAAATACAGTCAAAATGTAAAAATTTCAACAATAAACAACTAAAAACTGAACACAATTTCAGTTTTAGTGATGAGCAATTGTGATCTGGAAATTTCATTTTTTTCAGCAATTCAATCAAATGAATACGTTATAAAATGTCAGAGCTAATTCTATGGTTTCAAAGTATGTACCCAGCATGTTTTTCTTAAACTTCTTTTATCATCTCCCATGTCCATAAATACATCCATCTCAATCAGGCAGATGACCGGGACAGCGGCAATAACAGCATGATTGCCTACAAGCTGCTGCTGCCGTCTTCAACCAATGAGGGCTTCATCATTGAGCCTCTGACTGGCATCGTCAAAACTGCCATGCTGTTTTATAACATGCGACGCAAGTACTACAGGTTCCAGGTGATGGGGGTCGACAGATACGGAGCTGGACTGAGTGGCACATCTGAAGTGGTGGTACGTCACGCCCGTCGAGCATACTTTGTTATGGAGACCAATTGAGATATGCGATCAGTGTGCAAGGATAGGGTTTAGCTGCAATTTTATATAATGTAGTTTTATATTTACGCATTCCGCAATGGAATGAAGTGAATGTTTCAAAGTGATTTTAGGAGCATAGCCCTGTTTAACCATCCGTATAATGCCGTAAATTATTTGGTGAAATTGCATTGTCGGTGGTGCACAAAAGCTCAACACATTTGTCAATAACACTGTGGCCTTAAAAGTAAAATGTGTACAAATGTAGATGACAGGCAAACCACAATTCTTGATGTGCTACAAAGAAAGGGCATTTCCTCAAATGTCTCATATAACATATACATTTGTTACCTTTTATCGCCACAGTATTATTTACGGATGCACTGCGTTGCTAGTGACGCTGCACACGCGCATTGCGCCAGCAGACAGCGATGTGCATTAGTGTTCGTCTCCTGTCCATGCAGATCTCTGTTGTGAACGAGCTGGATATGCAGGTGATTGTCTCCGCCATTCCCCCGGCAGTCGTGGAAAACAACAAGGACCAGCTGATGAAGTATGTGCTTTGTGGCTCACACATCACTGCGCTTGGCTAAACATCGAGTAGTTGCGCTCTACACGAATGGAATGGCTGCATTTGCATCTCACCTCGGCTCGCCACCTCTGTCCAAGCTTGACCAGGGTTTGAATCAGATGGGTCTGGGAATTGGCATCTGTGTTTGGGTGGAAGGAATTGATTTGTACTGAGATCTGGTGGCATTATTAAAAAACAAAAAACTATACAACATAACTGGGAATTGGCCAAACATCTTAATGCTGAAAATGTACCTGCAAATGACTCAATTGGGATTACAAACAGCAACATCGCTCGCTCCCTATTGTGAACACTTGAGCAGACCCTCCTAAGAAAGAGTATTGAGACCCAGTGAGGCTTTCCTGGGTAAACAAGTGCAATTCTAATACAATAATTATTTAGCATTCTATCGCAGTAATTGGACTGTTTGGTAGACCTAGGCTGACTGACTAATGGTCTGGATTGTTCTCTGGAAAGGGTGGCAACCCTAGCCATGATCAATCCACTGCTGGATGAAGGCCCCCTAAGCAATTACTTCCCTGAACACATACTTAATGCTCTTTATTGCACCTCCCAATGACTTTGATTCGTTCATGAGGCTATCCACATACATAAACACAGAGACAATTTCAACCGAGAAGATGGATTCTGGCTTAGCAATCATTGGAAGGATTTGATCAACCATTTCGGGTCTTAATTGATTGTTCACACTTACGGTGGCTTTCAGAACGCATCCATTATTTTCGTCTCCCCCCTCCTCTTTTCCGAACATAGATGGACTCGTCATCTGAATAAACTGTGAAATCGCTCTCCGTGGTGCTAACGTAAAAAAAAAACGCCACTTTTTTCAAATTTTCTTGCTGTGGTTTTCACACCTGATGATGATTGTTTGTGTTGCAGTCGAAACGTCGTGAGAATTGTATTGTTTTATATTTTTATTATTTTATTGTTTCCCTTCTACGTGACTTTACCGAAAGAACCAAGAATATGACTCCCAATTACTCTCAAGCATATAGTGTAGCACCTTCAACAAGGATGAAATGTCATGCCCATGCATGCTTCGTGGAATGCATACCAACATGCCGTTATACTCGGAAGTATTTGTTTTAAGTTAATGAATGCGTATTGAAGCCAATATGCATACATGGACTCTAACGCCGAGATGGAGCAACGGAATCAGTTCATGAGCATGGTGCTGGGTGTATTGTTGTATGGGTCGGCCTTCATCGAGCAGTGCATTGAACTTGACTGATGATGATGTTCCTGATCGAAACCATGTGAGACTGTTAAGGATTATCAACATGTTGCAGTGAAGTTTGATGGTGCTTGTTCTGGCTGTGCGTGCCCTCTGTGTTGATGTGTAGGATTATTGAGAGGTACATCCAGGATCAGATTCCAGGGGCCAAGTTGGTGGTGGATTCAATCGGCCCGCGGCAGTACGGTGAAGGTTACCTGCAGGAGGACTACACCAACTCGGATGTGGCTGTCTATGCCATTGACCCAATGACTAACCGTGCCATCTCCAGCAAGGAACTCTTCAAGTAATTCCCATGACTTAACACATTTTTTTTCCACTGTCCTTGTATTCATTTAAATATGTTTGCATTATTCCAGTTGAATTCTTATCAGGCCTACCATAGTATGTCCGGCCTTAATGGCTCAGCGGCAGAGCGGGCAACTCGCAATGGGAAGGTTGCGAGTCCATACCTTTCAACCCATACGGCTTACCTATATTCTTGTACAGGGAAATTTAGTTTAAAGGTCCATACGGCGTACAGCCGTTTCAATATGTGAAAAAGAAAATGTCTATTTGTAGGATAAACGTTGATATGTATAAGGGCACGGGGTGACCAATAAAGACTGAATTGGTTTATAATAAGGTAGGCACTTTCGGTAAAGTCACGTAGAAGGGAAACAATAAAATAATAAAAATATAAAACAATACAATTCTCACGACGTTTCAAATAAAGCAATAAGGTAGGCACTTTCGGTAAAGTCACGTAGAAGGGAAGCAATAAAATAATAAAAATATAAAACAATAAAATTCTCACGACGTTTCAATTTTTCTTGTTGTGGTTTTCACACCTGATGATGACTGCTTGTGTTGCAGTCGAAATGTCGTGAGAATTTTATTGTTTTATATTTTTATTATTTTATTGTTTCCCTTCTACGTGACTTTACCGAAAGAACCAAGAATATAAGGTAGGCACTATATTCTTTGGTCCTTTCGGTAAAGTCACATAGGTAGAAAGCATAATAGATCACGACGTTTCGATCACAACACAAGCAGTCGTCATCAGGTGGGACAACCACAGCTGATTGAATCCACCATCAGCAGTTTTTTCTTGCTGCGGTTGTCCCACCTGATGACGATTGCTTGTGTTGCGATCGAAACGTAGTGATCTATTATTTTTTCTACTTACGTGACTTTACCGAAAGAACCCAAGAGTATGGATCCCTGCAGTCACGAAAGCTTCAAATCAAGAAGGTAGGCACTGACAAGGGGTTGACAGGCATGCGAGTTCAAAATCTGGTTGCGGGGTTGCCTCAGCCTGTCGTGCCTCGCGGGCGTCTATAAAATTAATACCACTTTTTGGGAAGTCAACAGTGGTTGTCATATGGACCTACTTGCCCTCATCCGAGGGATGTGGAATTGGAACCACTGACTCAAGGCTGTAAACAGAAGGATGAGCACCGCAATAATGATCATTTGAGCAAAAAAATCACTCTTACCTTCTATTTACCATATTACACACATGTGGTCCTGTGTCATATAAGTTATAGGGTATAAGACATTTTTGCAACTTTGATATATATGAAAAATTTTTTTACAGTACAGATGTGAGAAGAGGTTTATAAAAGTACCTTTTCAGAAGAAATCCAGCGAGAACTTGAATAACTGCAATTGGTTTTGCAAGGGATAATGCGCATGTGACCAGCAACAAGTAACGTTGTAATAGATTAGAGTTAATACGTTTTAATATTTGAGCCAGGTTATAAGAAAAAACCCATCCAACTTGACGAGTATCAACCAAACCTCACGAAACATTTACTGCGAATTACTCACTTTGGATCACCACACATAGCAACGTCACCTCCCTACAGCGACAAACTTGGCAGGACCCTCCTGAAAGAGAATCTTAGGCCTCCGTGAGGCTCTCCTGGGTAAACAAGCAGTATAATCATCAAAAGGGTTTTTGAAAAAGAGATTATGGGCGGCAGTAGCGTAGGCCTGCAATCCAGCTCTGATTCAGGATTGATGAATCACACAAATGTTGTGAAACTCCCTTCCTTGGAACATCGTGGTGCTATACCCCAACTCACCAGGGGATGGCGGTACAACACATGTGAACTCCAACTTTTATGTCTGCTTGGGATAGAGTGTTGCCCCCTCGCACACGTGTGTTTTCCTCGGGTGCTCCGGTTTCATCCCACATATAACCATTCAATAACTGTCCGATAACACCCTTATGTATATAAAGGACCACAGGGCTTGGGCAATTGTTGGCGCTGGCTTATCGCGTGGCTGCCTATCCGTTTTTTCGTTCTTTGCACCTCTGAATCATTCTGTCTCTTCGAGAGTGAGCAATACTGTGCGGCGTGTTACAAGTTTAAATATTATTACTATGAAATTCCAAAGGGGAGCAGTCCGAAGGAAGAAACCGAAAGAGAACTGTTATAATCTGCAGTGTGGTGCTTGAACACAATTAATACAGATGTCTCCTCTGACACTATACATTATTTGTCATTTCTTTTGGTTGCATTCGATACATTAATCTATGTTAACGTTGATATCCTGTATTGGGTTTACAAGTAATGTTTACCTTAAACTTGCGCGGTAGCTTAGCGGTAGAGCGAGCAGCTCCGCTATCAGTGGGTTGCGAGTTCAACTCCTGTTTGGACTGTTTCAGAGTAGTAATCAGGAAATAAGCACAGCCTTAATGCTTGTTTGAGCAGGAATAATTTATTTCCTCGTATTATGTGTTTAGTTCTACACAAAACGAGTCTTTAGGTGCCCAAAATACACCTCACACCTTCCTATATTTCGTTAAATGCACGTGCATTGCAGGAGCAGAGTAGTTTAGAACATCTCACTGAACTGGAAGCTGTAACCGGTGAACGGGTTTAACTGTTAATTGTCTTGAACCAAAACTGAAAACTGAACCAAAATAGATTGTCTTGCTCTGGAATGAAAACCCCCAAAAGAGGAGATGGTTACAGGTTTAAGCCAAAATATAACTATTGTGATGATTAAGCTGCATTGTTAAATGTAAAAATTGCCACAATGCCTCAGCCAGTTTCATAATTCTATCACAAGAGGTTCGCTGACACATGAGCCACGATCCCGCAGTCTCTCAGTCGTCTCTGCTTCTCTGTTTGTCCCTGTAGCTCCCTCTCACCCTTACTTGCACGTCGCAACACACAGACATGTGTTTTGCAATTAACAGTGTGTTTGCTAAAGAGAAGCAAAATTAGCAGAACAGATGCCTCCCGTGAAGCCTACTATGCAATTTTTTTGTAGTTCCACTTGCCGTTAAGTCCCACGTCAAATGCACGAATGGTGTAGGAATTCATTTGAGCTGATGGCGGCGCATCACCAAATAACGTTCATCATCACATGGTGGCGTTACGCTGAGTTATGTCTTTTTTAAAAATATTATCTCACGTAAATGCCGATACACATCTGGCAGTTCACCAGCATTACTTCAAGTTCACCAGCATTACTTCAAGCAAAGCCTGACTCTGCTGGCGACATACCGAATGTACAAAAACGAATGCAGAGTTGTCATTTGTTGAATCAATCTTGTTGAAATTATGCACTCGCAGGACATGTGGCTGCTGGGATGTGTAAAAAAAAATGTTTTTAGTTTTTTTTACGTGAAGGCACAAAAAAGGTGTTTTATTGTCTATCTATTTTGTACATTTTTTTGTCTAAAACCTCTTTGTGTATATTATTAGGCATCGCATGTAACTGAGATGCGTTTTAAAATCAGGGTTTTTCAACGGAAAGCTAGACATGGAGACAGATACGCTATCTATGTCCAGGTATATACTGGACATCTCTGAAAAAAGAGCTTTGTAGCTTCTCGGATTTCTCCAGAATCTCAACGTTCTTTTTTTTTATTCTGAGGTAAAAAAAAACACACACACGCGATTGTATTTTGAACACGAGCGTCCTTCTCGGGTTTGATCTCTTCAGAATTTTGGACGGGAAACTTCTGGACATCAACAAAGAGTTCCAGGCGTCTCTTGGAGCCGGAGCACGGGTGCAGGAGATCCGCTCACCGGCCGTGGTGCAGTCGGTCCAGAAGCAGGCCCAGGCTCTGGGCTACACGGAGGGCGCGCTAATCGCACTCTCTGTCATCATCATAATTTGCTGCATCCCGGCCATTCTCATCGTCATCGTCACCTACAAGCAGTAAGCACGCTCGTGCACGACATCCATTCATGCGCATTTATTAAAAAAAACACATTCATAAGGGATTATTTTTCTAAAGCTTTCGAGTGGTCTCTATGAGTCCGGCCACCAAGGGGAAGATCCTAACAGACAGGGACGGAGCCAGGGAGGGTGACAGGGTAGACAATCGTCACCCCCGAAAAAAAATAAAAAATCGAAAATCTGAAACATTGTGCGTGTAAGTGTACGACACTCGGTCTGGCGGACTCCGTGCAACTGCGTTGTCAGAGTGTGTCGCCAACCGATGGCGTCTAGTTCAACAGCCTGACTCTCTAATCATTTGTAGATTCAAAGCTTTCGTGACTGCAAGGATCCATACCCTTTGGTTCTATTCGGTAAAGTCACGTAGGTAAAAAATAAAACAACAAAAATCATGGCCGAAACGTCGTGATTTTTGTTGTTTTATTTTTTACCTACGTGTCTCTAATCATTCTTGAAATTAACATTTGTTGAATGTCACCCCGGGCTGCACATCCTGGCTCCGCCCCTGCTAACAGACGATGGCGAAGACGTCAGGGTAGAGTTAAGAAGGAGGTTGCTGCGCATTGACTGGGCGACAGCTGCGGGATCTGGTGGAGGGCAGGGGGTGCCGTTAGTGAGGAGGTGCAGTCGTGGCACCAACGGCTTCGGCCATGGTGACGTCTCGCTCTTGACTTTTTTCAAAGTACAAATTCTAGGGGAGCATTCATTATTCAATGCCACGCGCATAAGAAGGGGAAAGGCTGGGCATGAGATGAGGGGTGAGCATCATTCGTGTGGGGGGGAGGGGGGGGGGGCAGAGTGAACCCCTCACGTGTAGTTTCGGCGCTCACACTGAGTGTTGGGCGAGAGGTTGGGGGTGTGAGACCCCCCCATCGCTGAGTCTCAAGACTCTTCTTTGGGGGGATCCTGCTTCGGGATGTTGGACAAATTCCTTATTGGGGAAGTTTTTGCATGAATGAGAAAGGAAACTGGTGTGTACTCTGCAATGGTCTGTACCAGATCTCTTCCCGAAAGGAATTGGCCGTGTACAGGAGCACTGTATTCGATCCTGATGTACGAATACTGTGTAAGATCTTTAAGCCTGAGATGTAGGAATCGGAACACGTGAGATTATGTTGATGGGCATCACTAGATTCTGTAGATTCGTGGTGGTAACGTTACACAAGCTTTGTGTTTTGCCGCTACTGTCTGGTTGTACAAAACGCTATTGATGTCAATGTGTTACTAATGTTGTTTTCTTTTGTCCCTGTGCATTCTCAAAGATTCAAAGAGTAAGTAACATATCTTTGTTCTATGGTCACTTTCAATCATAAAAAGTCAAGTATAACATTGTAATGTTTTCCGCTTTTTAAATATAATCTACATATTTTATTTTCTTATGCTTATGGGTACACACATATAAGTGCGAGCATAGGGTATGAAGTTGATGCTTCATTATACTTGTAAGTGAATAACACGTTAATTGAAATATAATACAAAATAACAAAGTATACAATGCACCTCCTTCCCATGTCTGTCTCTCTACATGAAACAAAAGTATTTTTCACGCATCCCATCAGCCATACAGGCCTTCTGAGAGTGCATCTTTTCAACAGCATTGGTTCAACACATGCATGCCCTGCAAGCCATGTGATCACCACATTGCACGTGCAATGCTGCCAACCTTGCCAAGGCTACCAGCTCAGGAGCTGAGGGTATAGCCACAATTGTTATTTTGACCGCCGGCACAAGGTGATGAAAAACGTGGCCATCACGACAAAATTTCACACGTCAACTTCACTTGCGTTCATCGTGCGTTTGCTAATCGTGCACGCATTGCGCTCGTGTCCTCGCGGTGTGCAGACGCCAAGCGGAATGTGCCAAGAATGCGCGCATCCAGTCGGCTCTCCCCACCGGGAAGACGGCGCAGTCGCCGATCGCTCAGCAGTACGACGAGGCCGGCGACAACACGGGGTGAGTGATTTCCACGCAGCTGCCCGTCCTGAAATGATATTCAAACACACTCGCGCGGCACGGTGCCAGCGTAGGCGGTTAACGCTGTTTCCTCACGGTGATACGCGCCCGGGTTCGATTCCCGAACGCGGGCGCATTTCTGCATGGAGTTTGAGTGTTCTCCTGCTGTTCTGTATGGGTTTCCTCCCGTTTCTCAAGTTTCCTCCCACAGCTTAAAACAACACACAATGTAAGTGGCGTTGGCCGAACTTCCTAACGCTGACATTTGTACCTGCAACTTGATCGATTGGGATCACATCACAGTAGCATTGCCCCCCTAACTTAGAAAACTTGGCAAAACCCTCCTGATCAAAGAGGCTTGAGACTCAGTGAGATTTTTTTTATGGGTAAACATAATAATAATATTTAAGTTAACAATTTGCATCCAGGACTGTAACTGGAATCTTACATTCCTACATTCATAGTAATTGCAATTGTAATCCTTGCATTAGGTTCACTCACAGTAGGTTCATTCACAGTAGGTTCACTCACAGTAGGTTCACTTACAGGTTCACTCATAGTAGGTTCATTTACAGTAGGTTCACTCACAGTAGGTTCACTCATAGTAGGTTCACTCATAGTAGGTTCACTCATAGTAGGTTCACTCACAGTAGGTTCACTTACAGGTTCACTCATAGTAGGTTCACTCACAGTAGGTTTATTCATAGTAGGTTCACTCACAGTAGGTTCACTCATAGTAGGTTCATTTACAGTAGGTTCATTCATAGTAGGTTCATTCGTAGTAGGTTCACTTACAGGTTCACTCACAGTAGGTTCACTCATAGTAGGTTCACTCACAGTAGGTTCACTCATAGTAGGTTCATTTACAGTAGGTTCACTCACAGTAGGTTCACTCACAGTAGGTTCACTCACAGTAGGTTCATTCATAGTAGGTTCATTCATAGTAGGTTCACTCATAGTAGGTTCATTCATAGTAGGTTCACTCACAGTAGGTTCATTCACAGTAGGTTCACTCACAGTAGGTTCACTCACAGGTTCACTCACAGTAGGTTCACTTACAGGTTCACTCACAGTAGGTTCACTCACAGTAGGTTCACTTACAGGTTCACTCATAGTAGGTTCATTTACAGTAGGTTCACTCACAGTAGGTTCACTCATAGTAGGTTCATTTACAGGTTCACTCACAGTAGGTTCATTATCCGGCCAGGTGGCTCAGCGGGAGGAGTGAGCTGCTCTCAATCAGAAGGTCGTGAGTTCAAATCCTGGGTTAGTTCATAGTTCATTTATTTGGTATAGCCCTGCGAGCCATTCGGCTCTTGAATCGGGTGCAACCACAACAAACAAAAAACATGAACAAGAAAACATCTTAAAGTGATTATGTGACTGTGCAAACAGAAAATACAGGAAAAAAATATCAAAATATTCCTGAAATAGCACCGTACACCAACGCTGTGTGCAAAAATCCCAGTGGGATGCAAGTCAAATAACAACAACCACAAGACAACTAAGATTAAGGCCATCAGTCTAACTCCGTACTACAATAAACAAAAATATGGCCAAAACAAAAAAAACTTTTCGAAATCACCAAAATAAAAGCCATAAATCCAATGTAACAGTGATCATAGGGACTGTGACCGAATTTTTAACAATAAACTACATAAATAAATTATAACACCAAAATCTAGAGCCATATTTTAGGCCAATGAATAGCAGTGGCAGCTAGGGTTGTACAACTCCTCTAGAGCAGTTTTGAGTGAAGATCTCATAGGTAGTGATTCAAGTTGCAGTTTATTGGCAATAGCATTCCAGACCCTGGGGGCATCAATAGCAAAGGCCCTTCCTCCAGTTTTTGTACGGCAATAGGGAATGTGAAGCTGGTAAATGAGCGAAGACCGGAGGTCAAATTTGTTCTTTGAAACAGAGAGGAGATCCAGTAGATAGTCTGCGGAATTTTTTGTAAGTACATCGTGAATAAATAAGATCTGGTGCACAAGCCGTCGAACATTAAGAGATGTTAAGTTTGACCCAATGTAGAGATCACAGTGGTGAGTCCTATATGGGCAGTTCAATGCAAATCTTAAGGCCGAGTGATAGATGGAATCAAGCGTCTTCAGTACAGTACTTGGGGCTGATTTATACACGATGTTACAGTAGTCAAATAGAGGCAGTATGGTAGCTTTTATCAATTCCAAACGGAACATTGGGGGGAAGCAGTGCTTGTGTCGATACAGAAAACCAATTTTTATTTTTGTCTTTTTACCAATATAATCAATGTGATCTTCAAAACTAAGTTTTGAATCCAGGATGACCCCAATATACTTATCGATCTTGACTTGCTCTATTTGATAATTATTCAAGGAATGTAATTGAGGGAAAATAACTTCCTGATTTAGTCCCGGAGAGAAGCATAGCACCTTGGTTTTGGAGGTATTCAGGACTAGTTTAAGAGAAGCTAGCTGATGTTGTAGTTTGTTGAAATCACCCTGGAGCTTAGCAATCACGTCATCCGGAGAGCGGCCAGCAGTAATCAGTATCGTGTCATCTGCAAAAAGATTTACCCTGGAATGATCCAGTTCAGTGCCCAAGTCATTGACATAAAGAGATAACAAGAGGGGGCCGAGGATGGAACCCTGTGGAACCCCTTTTGTTATCTTAACACTGTTTGACCTCCAACCATCTGTGAATACAGTTTGGGTGCGAGAAAAGAGGTATTTTTATAACCATTGTACTGTGTTCTCGGAAAAACCGAGGCAACTTAGTTTACTAAGCAGGGTGTTGTGGTCAACTGTATCAAAAGCTTTGGACAGGTCAAGAAAAAGACAGGCACAGTACTGCTTATTATCAAGGCTATTGTAAATTTGATTCAAAGAGTCTAATGCAGCAGATGTGGTGCTGTATTTTTTCCGGAACCCAGATTGTTTTAGATGTAGTAGATTGTTAGTGGACAGGAAACTGCTAATTTGGTAGTTCAATAATTTTTCAAAAATTTTCATCAATGGGGACAAAAATGAGATTGGTCGGTAGTTATTGGGATCATCTTTAGGGCCCCCTTTGTGAAGTGGACGGACATAGGAATCTTTCCATTCTAGAGGAACTGATGCTTCTTTGATGGACAGGTTGAAAATATGGGCTATAGGTTTGTATATTAGGTGACCAACAGTTAGTAGAGCAAAGACGGGAAAACTATCTGCTCCGGTAGAGGAGGACCCTTTGAGGTAGGACAGTTGTTTCAGAACATTACTTTCGTGGATTGGTTGGAAACAAAATTCGTTTAATGTTTGGACAGGGGTGTAGGAATTTGCAGGAGCAGGGGTGACTGCCAATACATTATCAAAAAGATTACCAGCTTCAGAAAAATGAAGGTTAAAATTGTCAACTATTTTTTTGGGATCTGAAAAAAATTCCCCATTTCGGTGAAGCTCAACGGGCAGATTTTCTGTTTTGGATGCCTTTTCGATAGATTTGATTGTTTTTCAAAAAATCCTGGCATTTCCATGTGATTCCAGGAGAGTGGAGGAAAAATAGGCATTTTTTGCATGCCGTATTTTTTTTACGCATCTATTCCTTAAAATCCTGTATTCTAGCCAGTCATTTACCAAATTACTTTTCTGAGCACATGCCCAAACCTTGTCCCTAGTTTTCATAAGCTTTGTAATCAAAGTATCATACCATGGTGGGCGGTTGCCTTTAGTTTTAAATCTAACCAACGGAGCATGTTTGTTAAGAATTTGGAGAAACGTGTACCTGAAAGTCTCCCAAGCCGTAGTCAGGTTGGGGATATCACAGACCTTATCAATATCCGAGTGAAGCACATCATTTGTAAATGCCTGAGTGCTGAAGTGTCTCAAAGAGTGCTTCTCAACAATTTTAGGGGGGGCTTTGGGTCTGGCTGATGATCTCACACCAAAAATGAAGGAGTGATCACTAAGGTTATTACCCAGAACACCAGTCAGTGCGAAATTGTGAGGGGCATTTGTCAATAGGACGTCAAGCAGAGTTGACTGTCCCGGATTTTTTAGGTTGGGTCTTGTGGGGACATTTATTAATTGAAACAAGTTAAATTCATCTGTAAAATTTGTGGCCACGGCCGGCGGGTTTAGCCAATTCCAATTTAGGAGGTCGACTCAGCCCATCATCCCTCCACAGTCGATAAAATGAGAAACCACTTTGTTGGAAAGTCAGTGGTTTTGCTATGGATAAACTCGCCCCTGCTATAGGTATGCGGCATTCCCACCACTGCTTCACGGCTGTACACAAGAGATGAGCACCGTCTCAATGCTCATTTGAGCACGAGATCACTTTGAGTTTCATGAAAGTGCTATCTGTGAAGTTGATTGTGAGGCACAGTTGGCGGATCATACAGAGATTGAACATTATATGAACAACTTGGTGTCTGTAGGAGGTGGTACAGCATGTTGGTGCAGGAGCTACAATTGTAAATTCTGAGCGCTATCCCCTCATCTGCGTGGGTTTCACCAGATCATTTTCTTTCACACGTGAAATATTCCGAAGCAGGATTCTATTTGAAACTTGAGTCTTGGTTAGTGTAGTATTAGTTCATCAGCATCGGTTCAAGCTAGCCGAACTGCTGATGTCAGTGGTCCAGAGTTTGCTTGTGATGGACCAATGCTGCTGGAAAATTCACTTGCAGAATGCCTTGTGGCTGTTTGGATGTGTACAACATTCCTAAATTCCTTTATGTGGAGAGAGAGATGGTACGGAGACGTATTGTCTGTTTATTTGGATTTTATATTTCCCAAAACATCAACAATTATTGGGTGCTGAGGTGGTCATATGTTATCTCCCTCGCCTGGTACACAGGAGGGCATGGGTTGGACACCGATCCTGGCCATGCCTGTATATGTGGAGTCTGTGTGTTCTCCTCGTGGTCGTGTGGATTTTTCTCCGTGTCTTCCTGATTTGTCCTCCACGTTTAGAAACGTGCGTTTAGTTGATTTGGCTACTGCTATGAATACACAAATGTGATGACATAAGCCACTGCAATTCACTGTCATGTGTGGTCAAGTCACCTCTGAAAAATATCCAAGAGCTCAGTCAGCTTTACCTTGTAAAATAAAATAGTAGTTTTGTTTGTTTGTTATTTTGTGTTGAGTATTATTATCTGGTGCACTCAATTACACATAATATATAATTCTGCATAACCAACGATACAATATACACCTTAAGGTAAAGATTGCACAACTTTAATCTAAACACTGCTTTTCCATTTTTATTTGTCATAAAGCGTGCTATGTTTTTTTCCTCTCTCTTCCATTACCCTTCCATTTCTCTCTTCTTTCCCCTTATCCTGCATGTGCTGTTCCCTACAACGGTGCTGTGTGTTGGGATGCAGCATCTCCCAATTCCCGCAAGATGAATTTCACGAGACGTTTGGTCTCTGTGCAACCAATCAAGCATATAATTACAACAAAGAAAGCCTCCGTCACGGTCTCCTACGATCGCACAGTCGTGCCACCGCTCTATCTGATCAGAGCCCCTCCATCACCACCAGTCCTTTGCTCATTGACCCGTACGTCACTCTGATGCAACAGAGGAGGCCGCTTAGCTTGCAGGAGCGTGCGGGCTCACAGCAAACACAGGGAATGTTTCCAATTATGGACGACGCAACTCGTGTGCGGCAGAACTGGAGCTTCCCACTCTCGCACAGACAAGAGCTGCTCATGCTGCCCCATATCGGTGCTGCAAGCCCAATGCAATGGCTGCTGCAGTTACCCGTGATGAACGGGGATGCTACAGAGCAGGTGGTTGAATATGGTCAGGAGGAATCTCAAGGCATAATGTCCTCCCAAACAATTCGAGAATTGCTTTCTTACAGCTTGTGCGATGCGTCGCCACCTCCGAACAGAAAACCGACTCCTCCCCCAGTACCAAAGTTTCACCAACTGCTGCCTCCATCACCTCCTCCACCTCCTCCACCTCCTCCTCCACCTCCTCCACCTCCTCTTCTGCCTCCACAACTTGCCCCTAGTTCTTATTCTCATCACATTCCACCTCCCCTGCCAAGTAGTGTGGATCCTCCTTCACACGATCTCAACCCTGTTTCCGTTACTCTTCTCGAAGCAAGCGCACATTCCTCTGAGCCCCCTTTCTCGCCCACTCTGACACTGCCCGCTAACGAGACACTGCCCCCTAACGAGACACTGCCTACTAACGAGAGACGCCGAAGGCCTCTCAAGGGAATCCTAAAAACAATTCCAAACCTGGAGGAGATTGAAAGGTCTGTGGCCAACATATACAGCCAGATAGATAAGTGCCATCTGCTGAGTAAGAGTCCGCAAAGAGCGCCCACACCAAAATATTACAAGGAGAGCAATGGACACTCGGAGACGGGTCAGTATGAAGCCATTGATTCTGCCGACAGAATTCAAGGCAGCAATGGAATCACCGTGAGAGGGTGTAACGCTGACAGCCTTCTGCCCGTGCTAAGCTCTGCTGACAGCACGGATGTGCAAGATCGCTGCGATGCAGTGTTTTAAGGATACATCAATCTTATTACGGACACTTCAGGTTTTAATTACTGATACAATAAGCCAAACATGTGTTAACTGTTGTGCAAGTAAATTACATGGAAACTGTCAACATGTTTCTTGAGTTATACTTCTAAATACAGTACATGGATATGAGCAATACGAATATTGGACTGCAATGAAGTATACCTGAACAGAAGTCAAAATTATGACACGAAGCTGACATAATCAGGCCCACAGAATCGTTCGATTGAATGTGCTTTACTTCATTGCATTTAATTTTTATTCATTAAAATATTTCACCTGGAAATCCCTGGGATTGAACATCTCGTTTGCACGGGTGTCCCGGGTGTTGATTGACACACACACATAGCAAACCTGACATGACGCGAGTGTACACGGACTAACTCACTCGTGGTAACCTAGGCTACAAGAGTTGTGCGTTTATAAATGTATTTACTTACACACGTTGTTAATCTATAACGTATACAGCGTGCACTTATAACATGAATATCACACTCAGTCATTCACGTAAATAAAGGCACAGATAATGCAATGGTGCACACTGCTGGTTGATGTCGAATGAACTCTAGCTGTAACAGTTGAAAATCTTGAGAAAGTGTGTTTTAATTAAAATATTTAAATAAAACACAACATATCTTGTAAACTTTAATATCCCAGGACTGTGAAACAATAAGAGGCCTGTGTAGTCACCTGTCACGTGGAGAGCGGGGTTCGTCATTCATAGCAACATTGGTAGTTATTTTCCAAACATTGTTTTTGAGGAATGAAGGCATAAACACAGCTGTAGAAATATCAACCATCTCAAGAAAGTCTGATGATGTAATCACAGTAACAACCAGTAGGTATGAACAACAGGAAATGGTTGAAGAACTTAACAAAGAAGGCTGAAAAGTTGGGCTCAAGGTAAATGAGGAAAGCAAACGTTTTATACAGTTCAATAAGTTCAATAAAGAATTGTAAATGTATAGGAAGGACTGTAATGTGTCGTAAAAATATGGATACAGGCAGTCCCCTGGATACGAACGCCCGCCATGAAATGTTATTAATTTGAACCATCCGATTTGCGAACTTTCGGCTATATTATTTTGTTCGGCGAAGCGATTCTCCGCGAGATGTAATGAGTCCCAGCATCCGGCATGATGCTCAATGACAGTGAACTGTTTGACGCAAGGTAAGTGAAAATAAAGCGATTTTATTCTTCATATTACTTTATTTATGTTTTTTTTTACTTTACAGTATTTATTACAGTATTACATGAAAATGTACAATATTTATTCTTATTTATGGGTTTAACAATGCTTCCTTTTTTTGTTGAACCACAAGACATTTTATAACACTGACCGTATGTACAATTAAATATTGGGTTTCGAGATACGAACAAATTCACTTACGGGCGGGTCTTAGAAACATAGGCCGTTTGTAAGTCGAGGACGATCTGTACTGAATAATAGGGAGTGCATATGTGGATCATTGGCGAGAAGTTAACGACCTTGTCTGGTATACAGGAGGTCGTGGGTTCGATCCCGACCCTGACGCCTGAATATTGAATGTTCTACCCATGACCGCGTGGATATTTCTCCGGGTCCTCCGGTTTTTCCCTCCACATTTAGAATTAAAATGCGTTTACAATATATGGCTGCTACAAATTTCCACGTGATGAGCCACTTCGTTGAGCTGTCATTTGTGGCCAGGTTGCTTCTGAAAAAGAACTATATACTGTAGCTCAGTGGGCCTTACCTGGTAAAATAAAGAAAATAATTTAGTTTTTACATTAATATTGGCTGCTGACATTTGGGCTACGCCCATTTCAAACCTTTATAAACAGTTTACCTTTAGAAGCTAACCCCCACTTCCTGATGATGAACGCTTGTGTTGCGATCGAAACGTCGTAGTTTTTTGTTATTTTTTGTGATTTTCTTTGAACCTATCTATGTGACTTTACCTAAAGACCCAAAGAATATAGTTTTAGTATAGTTTAGTTTCAGCGGTGTATGGCTGTGAGCAATGTTGGTAAGAAGTGGAGATTAGTGTGATTCTGAAAGCGTAAATATAGTTGATGTGTGTATTGCAGGAATAATAACATTGTATTTGCCGTTGCATTTTCTGGTCTTGCTTTCATAGCTTTCTGTTTAGCATCCACACATGTTCATGGAAAAAAACATTTTGTACATGTCGGGTACATTAATTTTGTGTATAAATAAATACGTTATTTTCGGTTTTATGTTGGTTTTAAATTGCCTTAATTGTCTTCACCGCCCAGTGCACATGAGTTTTCAGTGAAACTGTTAAAATAATAAGTATGTTCGTTACACATCACATCAGCCACACAGCCTTCTGGGGGAGTGCATCATTTCAGCAGCAATAGTTCAACACCAGCAAACTGGATTGGTTTTGACACTGTCTCATCGGCATAGTCAGGCTTGCTTTAACTAAGGACGCAAATTCTTATTTTATGTTACGAATTATATTATTTGCGTAAAACTAGGACCCGTATCTAGCAAAGAGGTTCCTTTTCTACAAGTATCTGACAGTGAACCAGCATTGGTTCAAGCAAGCCTGTTTCTGTTGATGGGACATTGAATGTCAAAACCGAGTCCAGAGTTTGCTTGTGTCAAACTGCTGCGCTCGATATTATGCACTTTCAAAAGGCAATGTGGCTGATGGGATGTTTAAAAAAAAAATACTTTCATTTTTTACGTAGAGAGATAGATGTGAGGAGGAAAATGTTTGCTAATCTATTTTGTTTCTCATTCTCCACAATGACACTTGATTATTCTGTGTATAAACAATGGTTTACTAGTTGTACAGTGATTATATAGAACAGATCATCATTATTGTTCTACAGGGGGTCTGGATAATAGAGCTAAAATATATACACGTATTTGTTTATTTCCTTTTAGGAACATTGGATATGGTCAACAAGGGGTAAGCAGTTGTACACTGGAATGCTTTGTACCACCATTGCCATCACTGTCTGCTTTACCACCACCATTGCCTGTACCATTAACAAATCGAATAAAGTGCAAACACCTTCGAAGCAAATCATAATGCTCACTCACGTGTACACCCCGCATCAGCTGTGAATTGATCAATCGGAATTTGTGAATTTGTTGAGTTGGCAGACAGCAAGTCGCAAAGAGTTTACAGTATAACCACAAGGGCAAGGTCACCCAGGTCAACTCCTGAAGACGCCTGCGCTCGTAGTGCAGGCGAAAGCGTGAGAGAAAAATAATCTCAAAATACAGCCCGACCTGGAAAACATAATTTGTTGACTATAAAGGGAATTATTAATATTACAAAAAAAGTAAACTATGTGTATGGCTGTTAGCCCGCTACCTGTATGCCTGACATCACTTACGCCTACACCTACCCTGCTGTGATCATGGTGGCTGGCTCACCTGAACGTGAGTGGTGGAGTACCAAAGTCGGGTATCTTCACCATTCCACAGTGACCAGCGTGGTGAAGTATGATTACGTATATTTCTTCGCAGTGGTACATCAGGCTGAAACCCTTAGCTCAGTCAATTGTACCTCTGATTTCGTTATCTACGATGACAGCAGGGTATGTTTATGCGTAAGTGACGTTAGGAATTACAATGTGAAGTCCAAGGTAAACATAGCACACCTCCGTGAGTTGCTCAAGTTATAGTAAACAGGTTGGTCCCTGCACCCTCTCTCCTCATGGCCACTCATACGCCATAACTCCCCACTTTGTCCCTGTCTCTGCTCCCATCTACCACTACTGATCTGATGGTTTGTTTTTCCAAAAATATATACCTTTCAGCATGTCGGTATTCTACACACAATGTCTTCTTAATGCCCCACAGGAGCTCTCCATGGAGTCCGGTATTGATCCTGGTCAAGAGTACTACCCACATGATTACTATGGGTACGAAGCCACAGGGTGAGTATTATCCACCGGGCGCTGATGGTTATGCTCTATGTGGCCTGTGATCACGTACTGTGGAGGCAGTGAGGATTGGTGGATCATACACATTTGTGAAACTCCCTCCCTACACATAGGGCGTCATGGTTGCCGTCTCCTGGCTCACCACTGTTGACCTTGAGCTCTTTGTTTAAATATATTAAACCCCTTTTCATCTTACAGTGACATCTGTGGGAGTGACGTGCATGGAAAACGTGCATGCGCTCTTGACAGTCAAGACAGAGAGAGACGGCTATTGCTGGCATTGTTACTGAATGGCCGGGTTCTTGTTTGATACCAGCGATGTTGTTAAATAAAGACTTATTTGTTACGAGCCCATCCTGAGTGAAATCACCTTAGGCTACGTAATTAGTAAGGTGCAGAGGAAGGAAAATATGCAAGATGTTTCATTGCATGAGAAAATATTCGTTAGATTTAAACTGCATTTTATTAGTAAAAATGTTTCACTTGGAGAATCTCTTCAGGTGGAACATCTCGTTTGCAAGGGTGTCCAAGGTGATACACACACACGCAGATAGCAGGAACGTAATGACACATAAACCAATATTTTAAATCTATAACATATACAGTGTACATTCATACAATGAATTCCACACACCATCAATTGCAAAAATAACTATATAAATAATGAAATGGTGCACATCGCGGATTCATGTGCAGTCACTCGAGCTGCGACAGTTGAAATGCTACGCTATAGTGTATATAGGCTAATAAACAGTACGAACACATGATAAAAAAAAGACAGCTAAAACAACTGACATAGAATTGCACATTTTTTTTTGCCGAATATGTTTGCTGCGGTGCTTGTAGGTATGGCGTGGCAGGGTTTGGTAGCCGTCGCCGGCTGATTGCGGCACCCCAACGGATGTTCAACGAGTACGGAGAACCCATCGTGGAGGATGAAGGCGACTATTACTACGGGGAAGGTGGCGGTCTGGGTGAGGATGGAGAGGTGAGATTATTTTTTTACACCTCAGAACATACTCAGTAATGGTTACATGTTAGAGTTGCCACCTATCTGGGTTTGACCTGGGGACAGTCCCGGAATTGGCACCCGTGATTTAGTGGCAGGAATTTATTTGTACCGAGATCCGGTAGAACTGTTGAACTTTTGTGAGTGTAAACTGCACAGTTTTTATAGACCTTGGCCTAGCGAGAAATATCTCCTGGTGTCTTTTGTGAAAGAGGTGGCAACCCTAATTACATGTGGTAACAATAAGCCCCGAATTGACAATAATAAGTAATAGTAAACAATACATAGACCTTTTATATCACTTTTCAGTGATCCCAATGCACTTTAAGTTCAGCCACGAACAATACCATCAAAATGCTAAATATTTTCTTGTCTATGAGATTCACTCCATGGATGTCCAAGTGCTATTTGTCGCTCCAGTTGAATTCTAAACGACCACAATGAAGGGCTTTGCTTTTTACTGCCATGTTTTTAACAGACAATTTACATTCTTCCCATATCTGCCCCTCCACATAAAAATAAAACCGTTTTGGACACATCCCATTAGCCTTTTGGGAGTGCATCATTTGAGCAGCGTTGTTTCGACAAAATCAAACATTGGACAGGTTTTGACATTGTCTTATCAGCGGTCAGACTTGTTTGAACCAATTCTGATCAACTGGCAAATGTTTATAGGCAGTTATATATGGGTCCTAGTTTGACGCAAACCATGTAATACATACCTTACAGTATATAGAAAAACGTGCCTGCAAATGCCACAATTGTTGTTTTCGTCATTGCTTTTACGTTTACAATGATAATCCTCGTTAGAGATAAAATTGTGATGCTAACCGTAAATTGTGCTTTACATATAAAAGAACAAGACAAAACAAATGTTTTCTACCGATATTTATCAATATGCCCACACTTGTTAATATAATTGTTTGTATAGGTTGTAGAGCATCCACTGAAAGTTAACCCCAAACCATCATGTTTGAACAATGGTGTTGGTATTTTTATGAATATTCCTATTTTGTCCTTTTGTTCAAAGGTATGAAGCTTTTTTTATTTGATCATTTTTATTCCATAATAGTGTCCATTAACATGCATGATGTAACACGTTTCACCTATCATTTCAGCTTATGCATGAAGGTCACACGCAGGAAAAAGCTGTAGGGCAAAAAAAGAAAGGCAGGCATAAGAAGCAAGTGTCGCCTGCAGCTGCAGAGGGCCAGCCAGAAACGGGGCACTCTGGTAGTGAGAGGCCCAGCTTAAGACAGGATCCCCAAATGGATGCGGGTGAAATAGAAACGGGAGATTCGAGCCCATCTGCTGCTGTCGCTCAGGATTACGATGGACTGCCAGCATCACAGATGTCAGCAAGACGTGGAAGAATTTTACCATCGAACAACATCAGCCCAGAAAATCATGATGTGGAAAATCAGCCAATATTTAGCAAAATAGGACCCGATGATTTTTCAGATAAACAACCAATTCTTCAAACTCAAATGCACTGGAAGAAAGCTAAATTATTCCCCATGTTTTTTAGAAAGATAAAAGGTCAGGTCAGCAAACCTCAAGAACCCCAACAGATTTCCAATGGGCACTCTAGCAAGGCCAGTTCATCTTCAGAACTTGTATTAATCAATGGAAATTATTTCCAAAAAGCTCAAAACGGTGCAAAGCCAAAAACCTTTGGAATAGGTGGTGTTTTAAAAAAAGTTTCTAAAGGCACTGGGAAGTATTTAAAAAAGGGTTCTTCTATAAGTGATAAAAG